TAGTTACGTCCAAAAGACTAGTGTTTTATTTAACTTTGTAACGATGATACAGTTCACGTGCATCGCTTTTAACAACGTAAAACCGACGCCAAAACAAGTGCAAAGCACAATAGTTAAATTTGGATTTACGAATTAACCTGAAGTACTCCTTCAATTTAAACTTCGTCATCTGATTCACCGGTAATCGGCTCTTGGGCTAGAGTACTTAAAGTACCGGCTGCACCATCATTAGCCCGACGAAGTGCAATGACTTTTTGCCGCTTGGTTTCGATTTCTAACTCGATGTCCAACATTGCTGAGCGTCGTTTCGCGGCTATGAACGCTGAAGCAGCAGCGTCGTCGGGGTCAACGCGCACCATGAACATCTTGAGTTGGCTATTCTCGCGTGCAATGGCGTTGCGTTCATGTATCGCTTTCACCATATCGGCTTGAACTTTGAAAATGCCAACTTCGTCTATTACATTTAATTATATAACTCAATATTCGATTTTTATTAATTATAAGACAAACAATATAAACAAATACCTTGGCTTTTAGCTTTCGCCTTTTTGTTTCCCCTTGGCCTGATAGAGGCAAGAGTGTGGATGACTTGACTGTATTCTCGACTGCTCTCTCGGCATAATTAGCGTGGTTTTCGTTGAGGGACACGTTGTATGGCTTGATAGGCATCCAATCGGACGATCCCATGGAGGACTCCTGCCACTTTGGCGCGTCCTTCAAATCCTTCAATATGAGCCAGCAGTGATGCAAACGGAACGTCGATTTTTTTTAACGCACCCTGTACAATTCAATTGCAGTCTATTCAAAGGCATGCCGACATTACGTATGAAGATGTAAAGGTCGTCACGACCTTCAAGTGATCATTGTTGTTGGTTCCAGGAGGGTTGTGCAACGCCTTTTTGTACCACCACAAAAGAGGGAAACATGTTTCTGGATGTTGTCACCCCAGTGTATCTGTAAGCTTCCAGGCGTGCATGCTCTGCGCGATGCATTATACATGATGTTTGAATGCTTATGGACTATGTCATACATATGCTTATCGTTGAACACGGCGGCTACTTTTTCGTAGAAGGTGGATGACTTCTGGTCATTCCCAACGATAGGGTCTAGCGACACATGCAACCACGTGCGGCACAACGTTTCTTGCTCAGCTGGAAGGTAGTTCCTTCCCTTGTTCGACATGACCCTCTTTCGACAATAAAAACGAGTGATTGGGGGCTTTTGATTGTATCCGGCTATATTATGCGGATACTGACTCCAGCAAATCCACCCAAAGTCCAGTAAATTAGCGAGACTTTTACTGGAATATTTGCTGGTCATTAACCAGAAAAAGCAAGGTGAAATAGGCAATTTTGTATGAAGCGCAAGGTGGATCACCTTGCGAATTCCATAAATAATTCTGAATTTTTATAATTTCAATTAAATATATCTTCAAGTTTGTATTAATTATTTTTATTTTTCATGTGTCTATCTCTTTTTGGAATTCGCAAGGCAGGTCACCTTGCGAATTCAAAATTGTCCAATTATGTCCAATCAGATGCGGTGAAATCACGAAAATCGCTGCGTAGATTCATCACGCCCTGTTGCGATATATTCTACTCCTGTGATGGTGGTTGATGCAAGGAGCCTTGAGATAATTGTAGGCTGTGTATGAGAGCAAGATCTTGTGATGTGGTATTCAGGACTCAGTCAATTCTAGCAGGTCTCATTTCACCACTTGCCTACTAACCCAATGAAATTGGTCATCCCTCATTCCACCATCCAGTCCGTGTCGGTGCCGTACACCTCCCTGCTGGTGTGATCACATGGTTGATACAACATAATGTTAGCTGTAAGGGGAGAACCACATTGGACATAGTCCGAGTGCACTCATCAGTGCACAATTCTCTGGAGCAGCATCACACTAGGCGCTACAAAATTCGAAGTTCAAAATTGTAACCTCTTCTGTCAGTGTTATAGCCAATCGTGTGTAAGAAATAAGGTGTGATGGACTCTGATTGGATATAAAAAAGGAGCAAGGTGGCTCACCTGGCTCACCTTGCGAATTCCATTAACAAGTCATTAAAGTACTGAACCAGATGCCGCTCGCGTTTACTGATTGGCCAATTTACTGGGCGCGGTGGAGATGCTCTAAGCCAGCCAGCCCACAACTCAAACCAAGAATAAGTACTAGACTTCGCTTTCCACTTAAGTCAAGGTACTGTAATGCCCCCGTGAACCATAAACAGGCCATCGACCTTATACATATAACGTTACAGTACTCCGGAGTACTACGTAGTATATGTACGGTAAAACAGTCGTAAAATGTCTCGACGTGAAGGTCAGATTGCACCTTCTTACGCATCAGCAGAACTCGAGGCAAGCATGTCATCCAACGGAGGCGCCTCCACGTACGAGGCTGCCGACAAAATTCCCCCTTGGCGTCAGTACTTTCGAGAGAAGCAGCGCGAGTATCGCCGCAAGAGGATTGCTGACGGGGCGACTGTCAAAGCACAGTGAGTTCACCTTTAGTCGATACACTTGTCGGTCTTCAAACAGGCAGGTCGCCATCCATGGCGCCGCGTGAAGCAAGCGTTGGTCCGTTGTCCTGGTATTCCACTACCACAGCGTTCAAAAGACAAGCCCATCGTGCCTTACGAAGGCGCCCTGCAACGCTTTGTCGTGATGAACATTCCGGTGCGTTTTCGCATTGACGCAGGCGAGTGAGGAGATCGTTTCGTTTCTGCACGTAGCCACACATTTCCCTCAGCGATGCGTGGCAGAATGCGACATTGGCGGTCGACCCGAGTGCTCGAAACCTGGGCAAGGAGTGGCTCACGCAGCAAATGAACCACAACATGCACGAGGCCTTCGTGTTGCTTCCTACCGTGAGATTGGATGAGGATTTTGTCCATGTCGACATGCAAATGACGGACGACGGTCGCCCCTTCCTGTGCAAAGAGCGGATGCAGATGCTTGATGTGGCCAGGCACGGTGCAAATGTTTCGACGCGTGGTCGAGTCCAACATGCGGGTGGTGATTTACTACTACAATCCCATCGAAATGGCAAGTACTTAGTCAGATGAACGAATGGAGGGTCAACACACACCTGATCTTTGTGTTTGGTGGCGGAAGAGATGACATCCAACACTCGCCTGTTTCATACGACCACATCTGAAGGCATCTTTGTGAACACGCTCCAAGGACACTTCGCTGAAGCCAACCGGTTCGTCGCCATGGTCATGTGCCAAGTCGAACACGACCAAGCTTATGTGTGCCAGCCCACCCCCTCCACCAGCAGCTGCACTACAGTACTTTAAGAGGGGTAGTTGTAGACGAGGGCTTAGCTGTTTTTTGTTGCATGTATAGGACCGAGGTTCGGCAAGTTATCGCCAACTCACATCGTGGTACGTGTTGTCAACCATATAGGCTCGTGACCAACCTCAACAGGTTACCATATGTATATATTATGTACAAGTCTACTAGTATATGATATACATCAACAACCAGCGGCCGAGGCGGCGTGCGGGGTCTATACAAATTGTGGGGGAAACGAGCCGTCCTGGCAATCTTCCTTCTCATTTCAACGCATAGAATACGTACGTACGGCCAGCCAGCCTCTATCTGCTGCCGTCCTCGTCACGTAAAACAAACACACCCCAACCAACCCCCCCCCTTGGCTAACTAAATGTGAAACCCCTTCATGCTCTTGTCCTTGGCGGTACTGCGACTTAACCCGTCTTCTTCGTCGCCGTTCGAGGTCGACGTGTGGGGGTGGTCTTGGACGTTGGTAGCCAGTTCGCTGTAATCTGGTTTGATCGGGTCGCTCGCAGTGAGCGCGGGCTGGACAAACGCGGCCGAGAGGTTTGCAAACACGTGGCCAGCGCGTTGCTTGTCGAGGCGGGCGCATGAAAACAGCGGCAGGTTCTTGGCCGACCTCGGAAAGATGCCTTCAATGTACAAATAGTACACGGCCGACACGAACGGCAGCGCCGTGGCGGCGGCGATGGGACCCGGCGCAATCTTGAGCGAAATCATGCCGAGAAACGTCACCTGGGACAGCAGCAGCGCGCCCACCAAAAACGTATGCAGACGGGGCCAATACACGCCCGACGAGTGCGGCGACGGATCGTACACGTACAGCACTTGGCGACGAAACACGAGCTCGGCCACGATAAAGTACACCAGCGCAAAGTAGTTGAGCAGCGGCGCGATGGCACAAAACGTCACCACAAGCAGCAGCGCCAGGAAATAGTCGGGCAGAGCGCCCCCCGTGTCAAAATCACCGGCAAACGACGCCGGACGCAGTCCAAACCACGGCGACGAGCGCTCGCGGGCCGTTACTTTGGGCGCAAATAGCTTGTACACAAAGCCCAGGATCAGCGGCATCACACGGAGCAGTTCCACGTCGAGATCGACGCCAATCTTGACAATCAAGTAAGACATAAACATGGTCGCTTGGGCGGGAATGGACGTGCCGAGCATCTTGACAAGCAGCTGCGGCTGGTCCAGCACTTTCGACAGCGACTCGATGAGCGACCCCGCAATCACAGACACAAAGAAGATTTGGAATGTCTGAAAGTACACGAGCTTGGTAAACGTCGACCCCTTGACCTGCGCGCCGCTAGGGTGGCCTTCGCGCTTGCTTAGGTACGTCATGATCATGGGCGCCAGTGCCGTCATGACGGCCAGCCCCAATGGACTGATCTGCTTGAACACTTGAATCATCCACGGGTACTTTTCAAAAAATGACTTGAGCCCGGGGTAGTTGAGCTGCAGGTTCTCCACCGTCGAAAACGCAACCACCGCCGCCGTCGGGATCGTCCAAAAGAGAATCACAGCGGTGGAAATCGCCTACAAAATACGTCGTCAGCGCTAGATATAGCACTTGTCGTGTATAAGGGTTTCAGATATACTTGGGGTATTAATATTCACCACATACATTAGCTCGTGATCCGAGGGTACGAGACCAATAACACATCGCTTACACACAAATCCATTTAAAATATTATCGATTTGATATACAAATTTGGGGATGCAATCGAATTTCGCGTCGACCAAACCGATCCACAATCGATCTGATTGGTTGAATTTCATTGAGAAGGTTTTGATTGGCTAATAATGTTGAGTTATTCTGAAGTAGCCAATCAAATCGATTTAAATTCCAACGAGAAATCACACCACGAAATTTCACTCGAATGCACACTATCAATCCATATTTTATTAAAATAAATAAAACATCAATTTGATCGCTTCCTGTGAATCAACAGGGTCGACCTTGGAAAAATACAATGTTCGTTACAAAACAATGCATCCCCTTCTTTTAAATATATATTTTTTTAAATCATGTCAATCGTTTCCTATTGTAATAATACGCAGTTTTGGTCATTTACCAGCGAATATATGATTCAACACTTCATACATAGAAACCAAGGATTCCATAGAAACAATGATAGATAAACACACACAACCAACACTCAACACACTACTGGAACGGCCAATCCATCATAAACTTCAAAAATAACATAAAAATTGAACACAGTATATTATTGTCGATTTGATACAAATTTGGGAAAGGGGTGCAATCGAATCGCGCCGACCAAACCGATCCACAATCGATCTGATCGGTTGAATTTCATTGACAAGGTTTTGATTGGCTAATAATTTTGAGCTCATCTGAGGTAGCCAATCAAATCGATTTAAATTCCAACGAGAAACCACAACACGAAATTTCACTCGAAAGCACAATATAACCAAACACACACTTTGCCATATATATATATATATATACCGTCGAGATCAAGCGCCAGGAATCCTTTTCTTGCTTGGACCGGCCAATGTTTTCCCACACAATGTCATCGGGCTGCGGCGCCGCCACGATTTCCATTTCCAGGGGGTTTTCCGTCTGCAAAATCTGCTGGGCCGTTTGCGCCGTCTGTAGCGACGTAAAACTCACAAATGCCGAGCTGCGCGTGATGCCTACAAACCCAGCACGTCAACATATTGAAAAAACGACGAAAAAACGTGAAAATATTTGGAAAAATAACAGTTTAAGGAAAATACATTCTTTGCACACATGGCGCAGGGGCATACCATCTTTAATATGGCGGTGCAGCGCTTCGTTCAGCGCAATTTGGCTGCTGCTTTCGTCGTCGACAGATGACACGGGCGCCGCCGACGCAAAGGCAGCCTTGTCCACGCCCGTGGCAATGCACTCGGCTTCCAATTCTTGTTGCTTTTCCACCAAAAACTGGTACTTTTCGTACACCTACACCACATTCTAATGAAAAAACGTAAAAAAAGGGAAATTCGACGCACCTTTCTGTTCAATTTGGACAATTTTTCCGTGAAATAATCGATCGCGTCATACTCTTTTTGCAATTCCTTCTTGGGCCGATACGTCGGACGTGTGCCAGTCTGCGCCGACACAGCCATCGCATGCTCCAACGAGTTGCGCGTCCTCTCGCGCTTCGCCACGGACTTCTCCAAGTCTGCGCACTCAACGGCCACGGTCACGCCTTGGACATCTTGCGGAAACAAGTAGTCCATGTAGTACTTGAGCGTATGCGGGGTGCGCAGGCTCATCGGCAAGTCGTTGATCAAAATCTACCAAAAAACGAGTAAAACCTCAGGAAAACGGCCAAAATGCGGTGATAACCGAGCAACGTACGGTATACTGCTGGGGGTCGTCGCGACTAAGGAATTGATGGCGACGCTTCACGTAGTACCGATATTCGGTACGGAACAAGTACATGGCGTAGAACGTCATGAAGTACATCGCAGCCACGGACGCCCACAGCCGCGGCTCACCGTTACTCAAGTTGGACATGGTGATGCGCTCCAAGGGATCGATTTCCTTGCGACGACCGGCGGCTTCGTCGGGGTTTGTGCCCGTGGCATAGAGGGGAAACAACGCGGCACTCAGCAACACGCCAAAGAGCGCGAGTTTCCGTCCGAGAGCTAGTACGCGCAGGAAGATGAGCGTGTCCAGACCACAGAACTCAAACAGCACTTCGTCGCTGGTCGTCCACGTAGGCTTGATCCATCCAAACATGGTGCCCGTGTCTACTGCGACAGACGCGGTCTCGGTGCTCTCATTGCGGCATGCGTAGATCGTCGGCTTGCGCTTTTGCAAGTACAGGAAGATGATCCATGCAATGGCGAAGATGGTAAAATAGATGGTCACGGACGTCTTGATCGTCAGAGACGGCTGGACGTCCACCGTGACGTTTGTTTCCACGCCGCTATCCGCCATGTTGCGATGGTTGATCGTTTCCTCGGCGGTTCGGAATTTGCCAGGTTGGTGCGCAGAACGCGTCTTCGTACGTACATTGAATGTATAATGTACGTACCATTGTATACTTGGTGTATGTATTCAATGTATGATGTACGATGGACGAACCACTTTAACGGCGAGCCAATCTTGGAGCCCAACCGTTTCCAACATGGGGTATTATCCGGATGTTTTGGGGCCGACTTATTACCAACAAGATATATTATCCGGATGTGATCCTTTTCTCACGTATTGAATTCAGTGGCGAATATACAAACACCAAGATCATTGCGATTGTATATATTTAAGTAACTTGACGATATTTCAACTTGCTATGTTTTGGTCATAATATCCATTTCATGGGACATCTTTTGTGTCCAGTGGAGGGTCACTTTACGATTTCAAGTTTAGAGCTTGGTCTTGCAGTTCCTGCAATCCAAACGGTGGTCGTTCCGATGTCGTCAGCATCGAGAACCCAGACGAGTCTGGCTTCGATGAGCTGCACAATTCATCTGGCTACATAAGTACATAGGGTACCGTTCAACCACGATAATGTTGTCAAGCACGTCGACTTCTCGTTTTGTGTCTGGCTGTACTACTAGTACACTCGAATATGTGTGCATTTACGGTTGTACTGATTGGGTAAAGTAAGTGTGCACATTTGTTTGCGTGGTAATGCCATTTGTGCTGCATGCTATGCCATGATACAAACCCTAGTATAGTTTGAAGTCGTGATCTAGAACCAGAATTTCCACGACCGTCGAAAGAAGGTATGTACTAGAAGTTAGATCATAATCATGCATAGTATAAACAAGTGTACCGCGCATATTTATGCATAATATTGCTCCATGATATGATGCCATTTATTGTCGTGAATACATAGGAGTGATATTACATGCAAGTCCAACACCCCCGGCACAACTAGGTACTACGTAGTATGAAATTTAAAACTCCCAACCTGTTAGTGGGGGAATGAATTCCTTAGATAAGACCCCGCACACATATACAAAAAAATCCTTGTAACCTGGGACTTCGTCCTACCCCCAGTCGGCACGGATATTTCGAAGTATACTAATGTCATTCCCGGGGTAAAGCGCATCACAGCGGTTAGCTATCGCTAACTACTGAGATGCCTTAACCCCAAGCTGACATGCGCTGCAGGTGCTACTGTATAATTAAAAATACCACCACTGTACTTATTTGTGCAACAAATCCTAAGTTCAGACGTCCTGATTGGCTGTTGTAAGGTACCCCAGAATTCCCCATTAAAGGTACTACTACTTCGACGTACTTAGTCGTATAGTTTGGGGGTTTTGAAGGTAAGGAGTCTATGAAAGCCCAATGTGTATTCTTTGTGGTGGCAAGCAGCATTCATCGCGCCAAGCGACTGGTCGCGTTGAACATGGGAATATCCTTGCTCATGTCTGCTTCATGGCACCGCTGTTATCGATAAGCTTCACGTCATCCTGTGGTTGAACACTTCGGCCACGACATCCGGATAAGCGTTGTTATCCGTATGATTTATTTGCATTCGCTGGTTTTCCCAACTGCAACATATTCTCAAGTACGTGAGAAGATGTCGTTCGTGGACGCGTTCTTGATGGATGATGCTTCGTCGCTGGATCACTCGTTCTTCATGATGGAAGATCCGAAGGAGGTTGTGGGGCTAGGTACGATTCCGGACGAGGTGCGCTCCTCGACCCCGACGAAGATGGATGGAACGATGCTTCGAACGCCGACTGTAGTGGCGACCAAACGGGGTTCCTCGGCTGCGTCGTCGTCGGGTGAAAGCGACGGGAATGGCGTGGAGGAACTCGATCGGGATACGGCGCGCAAACGTGCCAAGCGCGAAGCGTACAAGAAACACATTCGGAAACGACAGGGCGAGCACTTGGACCTGAAAGCACAGGTGCAGCAACTCGAGGACCAGCTGGACTTTCTCACGAAAATGAAAGCCATCGACGCCACATTTGCTTCGTCGTGGGAGAACATCGCACGAGATCTGGCGTCCCATCGACAAGAGTCATCCATCGAGAACGAAAAGCTGCGCAAGAAGGTGTCGGAACAAAGCGAGTTCATCGACACATTGCAGACGCTGCTCGCAAAGAAACCTCGCCTTGCAGTACGATCCACATGCATCGCATCCGTCCTCCTTCTAACGCGTCGCCGTTGTAGGTGTTTGAGAACGACGAGTGGAAGGCCCTGCGGCTCGTCGCGGACAAGACATGCCGCCTCCACGGCATCAACGCCCTGCTCACGCGGCAGCGCCAACTACTCACAGGTGCGTTGTCGCCCAAGTTAGTCATGGTATACCCTGTGGGAACTGACAAAATATTGGACGAATGTATGTGCAGCCTCATCATTGTGTTGATGCTAATCGGTCGTCTATTATTATTTATTTATTCTATTCCGTATCAATAGTATTACTGGGACTATATCAATGTACTATGAGTGTATTCTTTCCTACTAGTACTATTATTTCATGTACTGTACCGTATCGTGCTTTTCAGTAATCAAATTTGCCAATTTTGGGGAATATTGATGAAATCGCAACTGATCGAGCAAACGAGTATGATTGGCTACAAAGAAATGAAGATTGCAATTTGATTGGCTAAAAAGATTGATTATGTAGTATTGCAGTCCCAAAGATACCTCTTTGTTTTATATGAAATTTCAAAGGTCCGGCGATTGTTCGGCGGTTGATTCAACCAACCGCCAACGGAGGAAATTTTGAGTACAACACACAATACTATATAGTTTTCAAAGAAATATATATATATATATATATGTTAAGGATCGGGATGACCTAGCGTGTATTTGGATACTACTGCTGCCATGGTACATATATGGATAGTATGCTGTGCAGGTAGCTCATACCGGCACACGAACATCACACTGTACTACTGTGAACCTCCATCATCCATTCCAACTGTGTATTTGGTCGTTCGTATTCCATAGGCCTATCTCTCATACATGTCATTAGGAGTGTTTCTCCAATGCGGACTGCTCGACACAACCGAAGTAGACATCCACAAGGTCAACGTATGCTCAGACATCACCAAGATGCTCATCAGCGAGTCCGTGCGCTGCGTGACCATGGACGTGCCGTACCCGATCCTCGCCGAGGCGGCATGGAATGTGTCGCTGGGCAACGAAACGTCGGCCAAGTGGGGCGACGACTACGAGATCATCGACATGATCGACCCCAACACAGCGTACTTGAAGTACACGCCGCGGAATGGCGTCGCAAATGCGTCGGGCCCGCTCTCGGCGCGGTACTTGTACCGGCGGTACTTTGAAGAGAACCGCGTGTGCATTGTGTGGAAGTCGATTTTGGAAGACGAGTGCTACCCCCTCGACGATAGCGTCTTGCGCGTGCATCAAAGTGGATGGTATAGTGTCGTTGGATCCGCCAAACCTTTGGACTTTTGTGCTAATTCTTTGCCAAACCTATCGATTTTCTTTGTACAGACTTTAGTAAAGATCGTCCATACTGATTTTGAAGTCACATGTTGCATTGGTCTGTGAGTGGATGATTTGATTGGCTACTTGATTCGTGACCTGGGTTTTGATTGGTCGAGCATCGATTAACGGCCGATTTGGTTAGTCTTCTCATTCAGTCGATGGAGCACCCAAACACTCCAATTTCGAATTGAATACCTGGACAATTACATTGTCCTTTGACCCAAACTTGCCTATTTTGCTTGTATTGATTGCTCCATCGTCTGACATTTGGGTCGTTCGACCAAATCTGAGTTGAGTCTAACTTGTATGATGTCGGTATTGTGGTTTGTTCAACTCCAAATTTCCTCCTTTGTTGGCGGTTGGTTGAATTATCCGCCGAACAATCGCCGGACCTTTGAAATTTCATATAAAACCAAGTTGAAGAGGTATCTTTGTGACTGCAATACTACTGAATCAATCTTCTTATCCAATCAAATTGCAACCCCCTTCATTCTTTATAGCCAATCATACTCGTTTGCTCGATTAATTGGCGATTTCATCAATCCCCCCAAATAGGCAAATTTGATTACTGAAAAACCACAATACTTGGCTGTGAAGAATGGGACTGCGTCGTGTATATGTGTGCAAATGTCTGGAGTTGAGTCGACCTCGCGTGTTGGGTTTGTTGTTTGCTTGCGTTTCAGAGTTGGGGGTCTGAGTTTGACTCGATAGGATTGTGATCGAAGGCGACGCCAAGTGCCCGGCCACGACGTCGCGGTTCAAACTGTTTGTGCAGCGGCACTCGCCGTCCCGCGCCGGCAAGCTCATCCACCTCACGGATGTGTTCCAGTTCATCATGCCCAACATCAGCCTCGAGAAGCGCACGACCGAATACGTGACTGACTTTATCGTGAATTCGTTTCGAAATGTCGAAGTCGCGTTTGAAAAAGCCATCGACATTGCCGTGCGCAAACTCACGTACCAAAACGACTTTATGCTCGCCAACCCCGATCTGTAGTACGTACTACTACTACTACTAGTAGTCGTCGTAGTCGTTGTAGTAGTACTAGGTGTAGAAATAGAAGACGCGAAGGAATGAATATACAACGTAAGTCGTTCGTGTTGGGTCGTTGAAATCGTGGGGGTCAGATACTAGTAGTAGTATACTAGTAGTAGTATACTAGTACACGTTTGAAGGACAAGAGATACACGGGGTATCATGATGAAGCCGTCATTCCAAAGAAGTTCCAGGAGCTGGATGTGTACACTTGCAGTGCTAGGCATGGACTAGTAGAGGCATGGACTAGTAATACTACTGTAACGGTACTCTGCCAAGTACCTTGACCTCAAGTTTGGCCATACGTACCAGTACTGTATGTTTCGTACTTACTACTTGTACCTGTCGTAGGTACCTATCTACTACATACAGTACGTACGTACTATGTACCTACCTACCTATACAGTACATACTACAGACTACCATTACGTTGAACCAGTTTTCGAGTACTAAATTTAGTAATACATCTCACGTACAGAAACTTGTATTGATATGGAAAAAATGTCGCCAAGCCGCGTGTACAAGTAGGTACAAACCATGTACTAGTAACGATAGTCCAAAATGAGGTTATTAAGTAGTAAGTTGGTCTCGACTGGCTAGTGACGTGATATCGAATTTTTTACGGGACGTTCATGGAGAATTAAGTGGACTCTCATTGGGTCCTCGTACTGTTTTCAAAATATTATTTTTATAATTTGAAATTACAAGAATATATATATATATATATATATTGTACAATAGAAATTGGCAGTAAGTATATACTATGCGTTATGTTCACTATTGTTGTTCGGTCTATCAAGTCGAGCTCGTTAGCAGCATGTGGTGCGGTGGTCACGCACCCAAATGTCCACTTCCTGTCGAAACACGAGCTGCAAGTACGCCTGTTTGGAAAACGATTTGGTTTTGGCGCTTCGGGACGCGATCTGCCGGGCCAATTGCTTCTCCATGTCTGGCCACAATGTCGACTGCAGCGGATGGGAGGTTGCGATGACCGTGTCCACAACGCGCCGCCAGTACGTGTAAGATGCCACGACGTATGCGTCGGCTACGTCGAATTGCGCCGGGATCGTCATGTGGGGTAGGTGCAGCGCGGGTTCGCTGGCGATGGCATGGGCCAGCACCACTCGCTTGATCTCGTCCTTCTTCTTGGGGACCCCCGGCGGCACTTTGAGCGCGAAGAAATGACGCGCGGCCGTCGGATGGACGTGGATGGGCGCCACACCAAACGTCGTGAGCGCACAGTACGACACCAATCCATTCAGCTGCGCGAGTTGAAACAATCCCTTGGTCTTGAACTGACCAGGGGAGAACGTGCGTAGAAAGTCCTCGATCCCGACTTCCCACGCCACCAACGGAGTTGTGGACAGCTCATGGTTGTGCACTTGGCTCATTCGAGCAGCTATCTCGATGCCAATGTCGAGGATCTGGCCGTCGCTTTGAAGATGTTTGGTGCAGATGTGGCCGCTGGACTCGATGCCCCCTAACACATCCAAGGGTGGGCACGGAGAAGAATGACAACGTTTGTTTGGTGCAGTCCTAACCCAATTCATTCAACACGACAAAACCCGTGCTGTTGGTGTTGATGTCCAAGCCGAGGACGCGGATGGGCTCCGGTGGACTTCTCCTAGCTTGCACCACGGACCGCACAACTTGCTCGATGCCATGCTTCTCGAGCAGCTTTTGGATCAACTTCATGGCGCAGTGTTTCACAACGTTATCCGGGAATAATATCCGGATAACTCACCATCTTGACATGAAGTTGGCGACTGGCGCAGACATTCCGGACGTAGCGATTGGAACCTACAGGTTGCGTGGAGATGACGCAGAACGAGTCGTGTACGATGCGTTGTGCGTGGGATATCGCCACATTGATACGGCTGCAGTGTATCGCAACGAAGTAGCCGTGGGCCGCGCAATCCGTCGTGCTATTGACGAGAACATTTTGACACGGCCAGAGCTTTTCGTGACGACCAAGGTCTCCCCAAAGCACATGGGGTATGCCAAAACGGTGGAAGCAATACAAGGAAGTCTGCGGGATCTAGGCCTCGATTACATTGACCTGATGCTACTGCATTGGCCTGGAACGCAAGGGAAGAAAGCAGACAGCCCACTGCAGCTCCCGAATCGGGTCGGCAGTATGCAAGCTCTCACGGAAGCCTTCAATGCTGGTACGTTGAAGGCAGTGGGTGTGTCCAACTTCCTAAGGGCGCATTTTGTCGGCCTCGACCACTTTCCTATCCACGTAAACCAAGTGGAGTTTCACCCGTTGCAGTGGACAGCAGAGACCCACGAACTAGTGGGGTATTGCCGCCGACGACACATGGTCATGGCGGCGTATTCCAGTTTGGGCGAAGGATCTCTGCTTGATGACGTGGCATACCCTGAGTTGGCGCATGTAGCGCGACAGGTCGGCGCTCCTGCGACCGTCGCGCAAGTGCTGCTGGCATGGGGTCATTCCCACGGGTGGGTTGTCATACCCAAGGCCAGCTCGAAGGCCCGCATCCAGGAGAACTGGGACGCGACTCGGCAGGTGACACTCTCGGATGAACACATGGCCTCCATCAACGCCATCGTTGACCGCGTCGGACCTGTCAAGTTCTGCTGGGATCCGTCGGTCATAGCATGAGTAAGAAGTATTAATACCTAGTCGGATTACGAAGGATGCGAGGATGGGGTAATCGAAACACGACCATCATTGGTAGACTCTGGTTTTGGCAGGATGCACCGTGGTCATCGTGGATTGGCTCTTTTTCCTTCATATCGATAGGATCGGTTGTTCATTGGTCTAAAAGTACGAAAGGTGACAAATATCGCGATAGCATTTATAAAATGAAGTGTTTGTTGGAATCTGTTGTGTACTAGTTATGACGAAAGGATACTATTGTACTAGTATAACGAACGTTATGTCGGTATGATAGCAGCAAGCAAGTCAGGATTTGGCTCGATGGAGAATTGCATTTCCGAAACTATCACCGCATCAACTAATGGGAAGGCCAATCTTAACTGATAGGAGCAGTTCACCATCCGTCAGGTTGATAAGCTGAACGTCGTGTGTGTGCCCTTTGCCAGCCGATGAAGTCCAAAGTGTCCGAGATTGGAGTAGTTACGAGCGTGTTTTGTCAACAATTGTTCTGGAACATTGTTGCTAATTTTTAACCAATCAGCGATCGGATTAAATAGTATTTAACGCGTGAAGGTAAACCCACTAGAAAGAGTTAAACGTGTTGTAAGCAGGTTTCTCTGCCATAAAACGCGTTCATGGTTGAAACGCGTTTTACTCAAATTTGTCGCTTGGCGGCGGGCACAGACTGCGTTTTTGAGGGCAACCAATATGAACGCCGTGGAAGAAGATGCGTTGCTGCAGTTCCTCATTGATTCCGGTCCGATGGACGTAGATCCATCGCCGACCGAGATCTATATCGACCTGGAAGGGCTCTTGGATGACGATACCCCGCAGCTTGACGACGACGACGACGTGACCGAGAACTCGGCGACTGATGACGCGTCGTCCGTGGACTTGAACGAGCGCAAATCGTCGTTTGTGCCCCAGGAACTCAAGCGCAAGCTGCAGTTGGCGAAAGCGTCCAAGAAACATCGCACGCGGCAAAAGGACGAGCTGAACTTGCTTCGAGACGTCGTCACGCGCATGGAGTCGCAGTTGGACATGCTGAAGAAGGTCAAGGCTGTGGAGGGGGAGCACGGATCCCAATGGGAGCAACTGGCGCGATCCCAGTTTCTCGAACGCCAACGCGCGAACCAAGAGAACGCCAAACTCAAACGCGCCCTCGAAGACCAGATCAAATTCGCCCAGGCGCTGGAGACCCTCGTGCGCAAGAAGCCCAAGCTCACGTCGTCCGCCGAGTTTGAGAACGAAGAGTGGAAGCTCAGCAAGCTGGGGCTGACCAAGGAAAGCCGCGAGCACTCGATCCGGTGCATGATGGAACGTCATTACGACGCGCTCAACGGCGTGCTGGTCCGCAGCGCCCTCTACGATGCCACGCACGAAGTCAAGCACGTCAAGATGAGCTACCAGAACCAGCACTCGAACGCCATGAGCTTTGACATGGCTCGCGCCGTCAAGATGCCGTTCCCATATCAAGTGTACGCCGAAGCTTCCTGGCGCTTCCTCGCGTCTGTCGACAATGACAACACCCCCGACACCGAAGTAAGGACTTGCACGTCTCGTATCATCGTTTATCTTTGTCATCGTTTTCCGAGCTGGGTGCCTGTATATATATATATATATATATATATTGGTGCTTTTCCTATTTTGTGTTTAGCACCTTTTCCGAGCGATTGTGTGCCTATATATATATATATATATATATATTGGTGCACTTTGGAAAACATTGAGCCAATTTTGAAGATTTTTGTAGTATTTTCGATGCATATTGGTGGAATTTTCAGTTTTATTTTCAAACGAAAAAAACGCCGCCTCCAGTGGCATATTCTTTTTTTCATTGTTGATCCATACATTGAAAGAGAGGATGTCACTACATGTGCATGGATAAGACAGCAGATATTTCATACTTTCTGGATATATATTACTTGCTGCTTGTGCATTTTGACCTGTTGTGATGGTCGTGTGTATCAGTCGGCTTTTGCTGCATACACTGTTTGTTTCCCTACTTTGGCAATATTATATACTTCACGATATTTAAAAAATATATATATGTAAAAATAAAAACATTCCTGAAGAGGTATTTTTTTTGTTACCTTTGGATACAATAATACATACTGTAAATATCGTGTCTCCACAAGAGACTTTGTATTCAATGATGGTGGCTTGCGTAGGCAGTAGAGGTGGTGGACGCCAACACGCGATACATTTCACGCAAGGTGTGCAAAACCGGGGAAGCAGGATGCCCGTTCTTTGGCAAGAGCCGAGCCACGATCGTGTGTTCGCCGCTGTGTCGGCGGTACATTGAGCCGTCCCGCGTCGTGATTCTGTGGAAGAGTATCCTCGAGGACGAGCTACACCCTCGGGACCCGACGCATTTGGTGTCCAACCAAAATGGATGGTATTGATGACATGCTTTGTACTGAAGTTTGTATGTAAAAAGAGTGTCGTGTAACGAATTGAAGTCACATACATGAATTATTCGAAAATTGATGAGGGTTTTCTGCAATCTGATTGGCTAATAAATCCTTGTGCTCTCCAAACTTTTGAGCCGAATCATTGCCAAATTATGTATCGAGATTATTTGTACTGAAGTTTGTATGTAAAAAGAGTGTCATGTAACGAATTCAAGTCACTAATTAAAATTGTTGAGGGTTTCCTGCAATCCGATTGGCTAATAAATCCTTGTGCTCTCGTGAATGTTTTTGTGTCGATTGATTTGGTTCGTATCGATTTGATTCCATTCTCGAAGTCGCGCCAGTTTTAGAATATATATAACCATACGAAATCTGACTATTTGGTCGCGACGATGCAATGCTGCGTAGGATGGTGATTGAAGCAGACGGAGACAACGCGTGCCATGTCAAGTCTTATGTGGAGCGGCTGGCGCCGATGCGCGCGGGCAAAGTGGTCGCCCTGGACGAAATGATGAAGTCATTGCACATTCCTTCGTGTTATGACGACAGCGCACGGGTCCAGGTAGACGACAAGGCGGCATCGACGGACGTGGGCGTCATGTCCGAGTACTTTATGCGGTCGTTCATTGGCATGGCCCAGTGCAACGAGTTCAAAACGATGGAGTTGGCGACAAAGTTGCTCAAAGCAACGCACCAGTCATCCATGCCTGCACCCGCCGTGTAAGTGAAAATGACTCTGTAACGTCGGGAGAAGATGGGATCGATCATATCAAGAAGGGTGCTTCTTGGGTGTATATATAATATACGAGGCGATATGATGATGTGGATTCGATCCCTTTTGCCACCTTCAGCTGGTGTTACTTGCTCGTGGTAGACAACTATTTTGAATCGTACCATGTATTAATACTAGTAGTACTAGTATAGGACAATCAGGGTCGAAGCGGCAATGTGTTATATATTCACTTACATATTAAAGGGGTGTTTCGAGTACACAGGGGCTACATACTACTAGTACTAGTACAAGGGCTTCGTTTGCAAGTAGATGCGCGCCAGCCAGCATATTCCCGTCCATCGTCAGCTGGTGGAAAGTGCTCCACGACGAACGAGTACACACGACACCCAATGACATTGTCGTACACTACCATTCGGTACTTTCTACATTCAGTACTAACGTTAGTAGTACTTATGTAGGTACTACAGACTGTAGTACTCATGGAGTACTTCGAGTACTATACTGTACCATGGATTGGACGCGGCCAGTAACTTCGTGGTCATTTCTGAACGGACACGTGGGGTCGTTTACGATCGCAGCCTGCTTCCAACAACGCCCCTTACGTGGGACTTACAGTATGTCGATGAACTAGTTATTGGGTGAACACGTTGGCAGTTAGTGCAGGCTCCAAATACAAGGCAGACGTCGACGCCAGAAATAAGTACCATCGGTACTCGGATGTACCCTATAGTGGTTGGTAGCTGCGTACGCAAGTAACTACGTAATAGTTGATGTCAAGTCGGTAAAGTGATGGTGGTGTCATATGTAGCGTGGAGCGAGGGGTGCCACTGCCGCCGCGAGCGGAAACAGGAACCGACGGAGGCGATGGATAGATGCTGTCGTGGTGGGGCAAGAATTGGGTGACTACCTCTGGTTGAGGTATGTCGTGGAGCCGCGTGGAGATCGAATAGGACAGTGTTGACATCGGAGGATGGGACGACGACCGGCTGCTTCAACATGGCGTGGATGGCTTTAGCCATGCCCAACTGCTCTTCCAGCGAGCGTTTCAGCTGGATGTTCCCGAGAAGAAGGGCTCGCCATACGCGACTTGCTTCCATGACGGTGGGAGATCGATGCCACTCGGACACGCCATCTATCGTTAACTCTGCAAGCGAGCTGTTTCCCACTCCATGCGTTGTGTTGTCTCGCGGAGGTACTACCGTCGTCGTGCCGCACGACGGCAGGTATGATTGCTACTCCTAGTGACGACGCCTCACGGGAGTCGATAGGTGGCATCGTCCAGTCCACGCCAAACTGACCAAAGATATCATCTAGATGGCCTTCTTCATCATGTGGAATGTCAGCTAGCCACGCGTTGGCGCACTCGTAATGATACCAACGAATGAGCCAATCACAATCGATGTCAAAATTGTGATGTTCTCGGAACGTTCCCCATAGCAGTGAGAACACTTGTTCGTTTGATACTTTACGGAATGGGATTTTCTCGATATATTGAATCGAACAACTCAAGGAGGGTTGTCGTCATAGCAACCAATAAAATTGCTATTTACTGCTAACTTAACTTACATGCTGTGATGAGGATTCTGTGGGCGTGGATGATTCATGTAGATGTGTGCTAGTAATTGTGTTATCTGGGATGAATTCATGCTTGTAACCCCAATTTCAAACTGTAAACGTACTGTATCGGTCGTACTTCATATTGACTCCCCTATCAAAAAATTATTATTACAATACTGAGGGTTATTTAAATATGTCGACTTCTCTATTGGGATAAATAACCCTACGGTAGTTATAGACGAATTGGAATTGTAGAAACAAAATACTTTACTGGAAGGTTTGGCACCGCCTTTTTCTTCGACATAATATGGTGATTCTCAGTCGTGAATTGCCCTCGTAGTGCCTCTTCATCGATCATGACGCATGTGCTGACGATGGACTCTCCCCCGCAACTACATGCGATGCTTCCTGGCCTGAAACGCCGCCGCGTGGATATCCCCCTGTGTGCCACCCCCAGTCTTCTTCCGTCGCTTTCACACATGCTGAAACATCGCAAAGGCGATCCGTGTGACGAGACGCGCAACCCCAACGAAAGTGATGGGGACAACGACCGCTGTGCGTGGTACGCATTGCGTTTGCTAGGCGCGGCCGCAGAAATGCACCGTACGTCATCCGCGATGACCCCCCGCCCTGCCCATCAACGAGGGGCCACGCCCGATGTGTGGTCGACTCGTCAAGTCCAATCAGCTCAACAACTCCAGCAAGACGTCCCCTCTTCCACATCGGCTCTACACCTGATGCATGCTCTACCATTATGCATTGACAGTCGCATTCCTCGACTTCGCGCCATGTCGCCACTTATCAAGTCGACGCGCAATCGTGTTGAGTTGTCGCGGGAGCAGCGCGTGGCGCGGTGGCGACAGAAGCGACTTCGCCAGACGACTCTTCCAACAACCGATCATGCGACTTCCATACTTGACAAGAAGAAGACACGGGCCGCGGGGATTCGAAGACAACGAGTGCAAGGACGCTTCGCCCGCACCAGCATGTTAGTTCCCATCACATCATTCCAAAGCTAAGGTATTACTGGTACCCAACACTGGCATGTTGCAACCTGACAAGACTTTATTCATAACGTAAGGGTTGTTCGCCGAGGTTACGCGATGCACCATCTTCGTACACAAGTTTCCCAAGTGCTACTCGTTACAGTAGTACTCGGCTATATATATATATATATATATCGATGACTGTAGCTCATGTCATGTCCAGGATGGACATCATCATCTGGGCCTGCCTATAATTGATGCCAACCCGCTGAAACTTCCATGGATTTCCACTTTATTTGCAACTCAATTGGCAAAAAAATTCAATCGAAATCGACGGAAATTTCTGAAAAACACGTCAAATATTCGCCCAATCTGGCTAATTGTCCTTGGGTGACTTCTTCTTGGCCGCCAGCGCCTACGTGTTGGCCACACCATGACATCTCCATCCACGACGCCATGTGATCGATCATACCTCGCGGCGCGCGTTGTTGACAGCTTTGGGCTTGGCCTTGAACTTGAAGTAGAGGATCGGGCCGACGCTCGCACTGACAATGATGATCAAGATGATCCAGTTCAAAGGAGTGTCTTCGACGCTATCGCGGGCATGCTTGAACGCTTCGTCAAAGTTCCTACGCCATGTTTCGATTCATGAGGACATCAGCAACATCATGATGGACACGGGCGCTTGACATACTTGAAGCCTTTGTCGTCGGCGATGCCGTAGAGATCGTACTTTTCACGGCGAGCCGGATCCGACAACACGCGGTAGGCTACAGACACGACATGTCACGAGGTCACATCTGCATCTCATTGTCGTCGGGGATGTATCGACGAAGCATGCATTCTTCCTTCCCGCATCCTATCGCACGTACCATTGGCAATCTTAAGGAACTTGGCTTGGGCAGAATCTCGCTCCTCGGATGCGACCTTGTCGGGATGGTACTTGAGCGACAGCTTTCGGTAACTACCCCGTGACCATTATCTCACATGATGCACAAGCAAGGAAGGACGTACATGCGCTTGAGGTCCTGGGACGTCGCGCCAGAGCTGGCGCCGAGGATCTCGTACAAGTCTTCTGCCCATGCCACGACTGCCAGCAAGACAATCATGAGGAGCACCTTCATCTGGAACCTCATCGTGTGGTGACGTGGAGCTTTCCAAAGTGTCAAAATAATGACCATTTCTCGTTCTTTAAATACTTTCACAGCCTGGTATACAAACACGAAGCCTAAATTGATTGCATCCATTTAAATATTTGTTTTATCATTCAAAATTTGCTAATAATCGCCGACACGTCGCGCTTACGACACCAGATGCAACACGCTCGACGAACATGACCCCACCTCGCCAGGAAGGCCTCCCTCTATGGGTTGATTCGCTTCCACGGAAAGCACCAGGTCAGTAAGTACGTGGGACGACGTGCGTCGCCGCACCTTCACATGCACCCCATGCTCCTCTCGCAGCACCGGCACCAACAGCTGGACAAAGCCAGCACTAACTTCACTCGATAACCGATCCAGACGCACGCTTCCGTGAGTGGGGCGACCGTGGATCGCGCTTTGCAGCCACCGGAGCAACACGGCCCACCGCTCCGTGTCGCTCGTCCAGTGCTGCAGCAAGCACCCGATCAGAGGGGAATCGAGGTCGCCTGCGACGCCATCCATAGCCAGGACATCATTAGCATCCACAGCGACACGGCGGCAATCCAACCTGGAGGCGCCGGGTGCACAACGGTATCATCCATCCAGTCAACGTGCTCGTCCTCGTCGTGCTGCTTCGTCGCCCCTTTTTGCATGCTCTCGAACACTTCCTGCATTCGCGCCAACTCTTCGTGCGCCGCAGCGGTGCAGGCTAGTGCTTCCTTCTTCGCCGCGACGGCCGCAACCCACTGCTGTTTCGTGTGCTTCAACGCTTCCCTCGTCCCCATCAGCTGTTCCTCCATGTACACCGCATGCTCCTCCGACACGGTGGACGTCGACGTGGCCACTAGCGCTTCCAGCTCCCGTACCCGACGTTCCAACGCCGTGTTCATGTGCATCACGTCTTCATGCATGGACGACTCGACCGCGTCCGTCGCCTCCGAGCTGCTCGAGCCCAGGCTTTCGCCTTGATCTGTGTCATGGCACTCTTGGTTGTTCTCGTCCAAGCACGTAGATGCGGCAAACGGGCGTGCGTCGGCGATTTTCTGCGCAATAATCCACAGATTAACCTTGGAATATGGTGATGTTGTCCTTGAAATGTGTTGAAATCCATATATATATATATATATATCATGAATAAAACCTCGAAACTACGACCTTTCTCAACGTATTTCTCCAAAAGTTGGGGAAATCCACCAACCGAGAGGCCGATTCTAAAGTCACACTTACAGTTAATTCGCTCACATTTACAGGGAATTCACTCAAACTTATAGGGAATTCGCTCACATTTACAGGGAATTCACTCAAACTTACAGATAAATCACTCGAAATTACAGATAAATCACTCGAAATTACAGATAAATCACTCGAAATTACAGATAAATCACTCGAAATCACGAAAGGTCTAGAACATGGCTTACCTTGTACGTGTGGCATATAGTCCGGAGGCTATCGATGAGCTCTCGCTCCTCTGCTTGCTCGTCTTTCAGCAGTTTATTTTCCCGCGTCAACTTGTGGAGATCGTGCTCAAGGGCCTGGATGCGCTGGTTGCTGGCATAACTCGACTGAGACCACGTCACTTGGAGCTGGCTTAGCTCGAGCAGCACCTGGCTCAGATGCGTCTGGAGGAGGTCGTTTTCGGTCTGCAGAAGGGTCACACGAGGGTCTTCGGACAAGGGATCGTCATCTGACGACGAGGGCTTGGCGAAGTCGGCGTTGTTTTGGGACTCGTGTGGTAGTGGGGTCGTGGACGATGAGTTTTGATGCAGTTGTTGCTGCGCACGCAACTCGGACGCGAGGGATCGGAGCTGCTGCTGCGACGCCTCTTCCGAACTGTGCCACGCCGCACGTTCCTTGCGATGCGAGGACTGCAGCACCTTGACCTCCTTGTGCGCCGCTTGGACTTCCAGCACCGCCGCCTTGTGTTGATCGCGCAGGGATTGCACCTCCATCTGCAGTTCGCGGTGTTGCACTTCGTACCGACGTAGTTCGGTGGATAGGAGTTCTACGTTCACTTCCAACGCCGCGTTCTTCTCGAGCAAGATCAGGCCAGCGCGCGCCGCCATACGCAGCTCATCGTCCCCTACATCATCCTCTTAGACTCCTGTGTAGCTTCGCCCATATAATTGTTTCTACCTCCAACGCTGTTGTTTCCGCCGCCCATGTGATGGACGTCGATAATGTCGACCGGTCCCTGCTTCGGCATGGTGTCTTCAAAATGGTGGAATTTCTAGCGATATATCCGGATACAACCGCGAATAGTAGACGATGCCCAGATTATGTTCACTTGGATTTTGTATCCAAGGCTTCCGTCCGGATAAAGAAAACGTTTCACCCTCGAGGACGAAGAGCCGCCACGCGTGTAACAAACGATAGCATTGTTAGGCCTCTGGTTCAACATGAGATGGACATTGCGACCGTACTTAGCCCCCCCCTTGATCACAATGATGGTGCTCACCATTGTACGCGTATGATGATAAGCTCAACTCAATACGCCACGCAAGTTACTCGTACCTTCCGTCGACACTGGGGATCGATATGGGCTACACTTGTAGTTGGGTCGAGTCCTCGGCTCCCAACCTATGCACCCTTTCTCGCCCAAGTGACTATTACTAGTACAATCCTACGTATATATACCACCAAACAACACGATTGCTCGAAGCAGCCCAATGTACAAGATAGTGCAGCAAGGTTCCCAACGTGAAAGAGCCATCACCTTCAGAGCACTATGGAAACCTTCCACTCTTGCTGCATGATGGTGGCTATAACTCTGTGGTTGCCCATCGAACGCTACAGTAATAGCGTGAAGCCCACGTGACTTGGCAGTGCAGATTTCCTTCCAGCGCGTTCGCCTTCGTGCGTTTTATCCGATGTCCGTTCTATATTCGAAGAAAAGTTGGTGTGGAGGCAGAACGAACGCGGGCCACTTCACTTTGCATCTATCCGGTCCCATGCACGGATCTCTTGCATCGCCCCGCCATGGGTCTTCCTATTATCCCATGCTGCTTCTCTTTTTCGTCGTAGCCACGTGGATGCCAGCTGCGCACGCCAGTGTGTTTGCCGGGTTTGAGATCGGGCGCGAGTTTTCGTTCCTCGGCAAGTTTTGCTTCACATGGGACGCCAACTACAGCCACGTCGTGGGCGAGATCACCGCGCACATTCGGACCCCGGACGACGGCGTCAAGCTGGCCATCTACGACGACGAGGACGCGTTTTGGGCGTTCATTTCCACCGATCCGAGCTGCGACTGCACCTGCAAACTCGCCGACGAACACACCAAGGCCGTGTTCGACGTCCCCCGCGCGTCGGACGCGTCCCAGACGTTCTCGCTCAACTACACGATCCGCGAACACTTGCGGCCCCGGTTCTGGTACGTGGCGCTGGCCAAGTGCGTGCCTGGGGGCGACTCGTACGTCCCGACGCTGCAGTCGCTGACCCCGGCCAACTTTCAGCACTACTACTTTACCGCGTGGTACTCGATCCACATGGTGCAAGCCGTCACCCGAAGCGAAGTGCCCGTGTTCCAAGAAGGGCTCACGACCGTGTACACTGTGTCCGGCGTGTTGTCTGGCTTGCTCGTGTTGATTCAGCTCCAGTCCAAACTCCGCCTCACACAAGAGTCGTTTCACCCAATCGTCCAGCTCTTGACGGGGCTCGTGGTGCTCACGTTTCTCACAAATTCGTCCCTCGGGCTTCACTTTTACGCGTTCGAACTCAACGGCATCGGCGCGCCGCTCCCGCTTTGCCTCGCGCGCATCTTTCAAGTCATCAACCGCGTCGGCATGCTTCTCCTGGCCATGTTAATCGCCAAGGGGTGGACGATCAACGCGATTGCTCTCCACGGCCGCACATGGCTCACCACGGTCATGCTCACGTATAGCGTGCTGTACCTGAGTCTGGCCGTGTGGTACCTCGGCTACGTCGATCCCGCGTCCACCTTATACATGTACGATTCTGTGCCGGGGCTCGCGATTTGCTCGCTACAGATCATCGTGTACGCGTGGTTTGTCCAGCACTTGGTGGCCACCCGCGCCAAGGAAGACGACATCGCCAAGCGCAGCTTCTTTCTTCAGGTAAAGTCGCACCCTGAAGGGGTCCTTTCTAAAACGTTTGGGGGCTAAATGAGGAGGTCGGCGTTGCGATGTAGATGGGCGTACTCTTCACAGTGTACATTCTGTCGCTGCCAGTGATTGTGACGGTGGCGTCGGTGCTGTCGCCGTGGGTGCGTGAAAAGGTACCGAATGGACATGTGGTTGAAGTGAAAACAACTGGGAGTTGAATGGTTGGTTGGTGTCGCTTGTAGATTGTCGAGTCGGTGACAGTGTCGATTGACCTTGCCACGCAAGCCGTGCTTGTGTATGTGTTGTGGCCGACACGCGCGCCGCGATACTTTGACGTACGTTTCTGCTCCGTGTATTTCAATGGGCTCATGGCTTTATGCGTAGCGATTGTATACTCTTGTGGGGTCGCAAGCCGAAAAGGCCACGCTCTGCGATGCCACACTTCCGTCCAACCTATTGTAATCCGTGTTAAATACTAGTGATATTAACGCCTCACGTCGTTTTGGGCTTGACTTGACACCTGTTGAGGGAGGAATTAACAGTTGGGGTGTGTGGTGTTTTGCTTGCTTCCGACCCCCTTGCAATGGCCTCCCATACTGAATATTAGGTCGTCTTTCAATGTATTCATGCATTACATGTATGTGGCCGGGGGGGCTCGGCCTTTGCTCTTGCATCGGAGGCTATTCAGTAGCTTTAGCCTTATTCCTTGCGTCGCCAGTCTAATTTACTCCGTGGCCGCGCGTCGTTCGAAAAGAATTCTCTGGGTCTTGGTTCTCTTCGTTTGGGTTCTCGTCATCGTCCTCGTTCGCAGCGGCCCCGTACTTGGCTTTTAAATTGGCGACTTGGCTTTGAAGCACCGCTGAGGGGATCGTTCGTGGAACCGCCACCCCCTTCTGGGATCCCTCCTCTGTGTCCTTTCCCAAGCTTTGATTTGGATAGCGCAGCTTTTCCGATGCCGCCGACATGTCGTCTTCCTTGGTTACTTGGAAACTACAGCTGTGACATGTGCCATTTCGTACAACGGGCGAGTCACTTGCCATCACAACGATACGAAGAATAAATATTCTGCTCACTCAACGGTCGCTCGTGTGTTTCGCCCCCAACTAGTGCTTGCATCATTTTCCCAATGTGCTCGGCCCCTAGCATTGCCGTTTGGCTCCTCTTTGCAGCGATTGTGCTATCTATCGTGGCTGTCTCGGTGTCGTCGTGGTCGTACTCGTGGACGTCGCATGACACGAGCTTCACCACGGGCGTGTGGGGCTTTTGCGTTGACGTGGCCCGCGCGCCCCTGAACTCGACCGACATCACCGCCTCCCCCCCTCCCCCATCCATCGTAACCAAGTGTTTTCCATTTCACTCTGCGTCGGATGGCATTGTGGTCAACCAAACGTCTTTCGTCGAAGCCACGGAGAGCGTGTGCTCGCTGGATCGAAACGGCCACACGTTTCGCAACTTGGTGGCGCTCACCCCGGACGCCCGCACCACGCGCATGTACATCGAACATTCATGCGGCAGTCTCGGCTGGGCCAGCCTCATCTTGGCGGCGTTAGTGCCAGGGCTCAGTGCAATTGCGCTGGCCTTCTTGGCAGGATTCTACTATGCAGGGTACTATCGGCCCAAGTGGTACCTGTTGGTATTTGCCACCGTGTTCACGGGGTTTGCGTTTGTGAGTTCGATTGCAGCGTTTATCTTGTGGTCGATCCAGGCCCCGTCGGGTTTGGCCTTCGGGGCACCGTATTACCTCGAGCTTGCGACGTTTGTCGTGCTATTTCTCGCGATGGCGGCGACGATGTACGGCTGCCGAGTGTTGGGGGACCAAGATCACCATTACGATGGAGGACGTCGGGATGCCACGATGGCCACCTACGAGCACCACCTGGCCTCCCCTCACGGCTCCCCTCGGACGATCGAGGTCAAGTAACGACAAATAATAAATCTTGCACGTGTATACGAGAAGTTTGTAGCCGTAGGCCACAGAAGACAACTATCCTACAAACGTAGGAGTTCGTTACAGTTTGTTCAACAACTCTGTAACCACACAAGCTTCGCTAAAAGGGCGGTTGAAATGTGGTCCCAGCACAACGTTAGGCTTGAAAGCTTGCGTTACTGAGACAGGACGACCTTTGATGTGGCAGTTAACCTGTTTGGAAGGAAGCGGACTGCTCATAATCTCATTGGATCGATGCAGCCCCCCATCAACAAGAGCAATGTGCTTAAGGCTTTAACCCATGATCTCAAACCTATTCCGAAAAAGTCTGACCGATTCGATGCGATGCACCGACCCCCTCGTGATGTGGTTCGAACCCATCCTCGCCGCTTAGCCCCCGCTGAGGCGTCATTAACTCAGCCTCCCATGTCCAAGCCATCGCCTGGCCAGCAAGCAAGTCCTTTGATTATCCCGGCAGTATTGCCTCCGTCAGTTTCGCCTGTAGTAGATGCTGCACTGCCAGAGTCAGCAATGGTCACACCATATTCACGAAAAGGCGACAGTGAAAATGCTCCGAAGCCTGCGAAATCCAGCGACCCCCCCCTGGAGGATAAATCTGAAGCCCCTCGAGCTATGCGCAAGCGCAAGACTGCTATTGCCTCCCCTGACTTGACCGACGATGGGATTGCGGCCAGCGATCTCAAGAGCAGTAAAGCAACCGGTGTGAAACGTCGACCAAGTACTACTACTCAAGGGAGGAACTCTGTCCCAGATCACCCACGCAAAAAGGCTGATGGCCCGAAAGGTGTCCAACACCCCACGTAAGGTGACCTTATTGCTAGACGACTGATGGCATTGACATTGGATTGAAGGAGCGTGGCGGATGGAATATTGGAGCAGCTTGAGGATGATATCGTTGGCGACTGGGAGTGCTTATAATGCGACGTGAGAAACTCGAAACCTGGTTGTAACAACCAGTGCTGATAGCCGCGGTACAGCTGTATAGCCTACGGTAAATCAACAGAGCTGTGTGCGACATATCAGAAAAAAACTCTTGGTCACTGAAGTCCAACACATAGAAATATCAAAAATACTCGCATAGAGTAATCATGAAAATCGGAATATTCCAATGAAATGACCCAGTGAGACATTTCGGTGGAACTTCAAACAAATAAATTTCTAGTCAGAAATTCTGACTGGGCAAACCTTTACACACTCACAACCATGCCAAATCAATGCAACAGTTCAAGCAGGCCAGCAATAAACGAGGCCATCCCATCATCGCTTCACGACCCAACATGATGTAGACCTCATAAAGGAGGTATCACCACTCCCCACTTGAGATAACGCGTTCAGCACTCAATGACACTGGTAGTGCGTCTTATGTGAAATTTGCTGATGTGCAAAAACACGATAGAATTACTACGTAGTATTGGACATTTCATTGGAATATTCCCATTTTCAAAATCCCTCTAGTTGTGGTGTCTTCATAAAACGATCGCAATAGAGGCGACACGCAATCGCAATACTACTAGTATGTACTAGTAGTACGCAGTAGTATGCACAGGCCGCGCCATGAAGTCGATACCGAATGACGATTCCCGCTGCGACGACTCTCCGTTGCAGCACTCATATGTGTTGGATGTCCGTCGCATTGGGCTCTCCCTGCCGTCAATTAAGCTTAGTACATAACCCCCCTCACCACCTACGCGGCCAAGCCGAAGTCTGGTGTGAAATCTTCACTTGATAAACAAGTGTAAACGCTTTAGGAATTTCGATGGTTGAAGTGTAGCAAAGTTCAATAATTTTGGACGGGGACTGGATCTGTCGGGTATTTGAACGTGGGTGGTATTTGGGTATTCGACCCCTTCCCATCCAATCAAAACGAACCTCAGGGCAAGTGTCGTGTCATCGTCAACATTTCGCAGGCCTATCGAAATGTATCCTTGGTGCTGAAAGCCAACCAAGCCATGCTTGGAATCATGCATTGACAATATCGCTTTTTACACAAGCGCTTTGGCAACAATTCATGTACACCTCAATTCGTTTTCAATCACTGACAGGGCGGGCTGTCGATCATCTGGACGGCAGTTCTCCGTGCACATCGAAATAAATAAAAAAACGCACATGCGATAACGTTAATGAAATATTTTGCCAAGTGACAACCCGGACCTATCTCCCCGATATTTGTTTGAATACCGGGTATTTGGTGACACTGTTGCCACGTACTTGAAAATTGTATGTCAATCTCTACAGATTTGGTGCAGGTGGTGGCATTGGTAATGGCACCCATCTATCTATCTACCAACCTAGGAATGGTGGAGGGCAGCCACGTGACGTTGGGACGCCTCCAGTGTCCCATTCTACAATTTGCCGCACACAATGACCTTTGAACTCGTTACCGACACAGTGGACACCAAAACGTCGCCGCTCTCGCTAGCGGCTCGCTTGTTTCACGTGACGTTCAAATCGTCGAGCGTGTGCTACTTCATCTGCGGATGGCTCTTCCTCATCGGGTCCATCTTGTTCTATCCCCGGTACTATACCCTGTACGGCGAAGACGGCCTAGGCCCGTTGATTGGCGGCTGGTTGTTCGTGTTTGGATGTGTGGGCTTCCTTGCCGGCAGCTTGTTTGAAGTGTTCGTCGCCCGTGCGGCCCACGTTGGTGGCAGCGACTGGCAACGCTTCATTCCCATCACCACGTCGGTGAGCAATGTCATCGGGTCCGTGTGCTTTGTCTACGGTGGCGTGTACTTCTTGCCCAGCTACTACGCGGAAGACCCCGCCCTCGGCTGCTACCTCTTCATCGTGGGCTGCTCCGTCTTTTCGTTTGCGATCTTCGCCGACATCCCCCGCTCGCTCCGCGCCAACCAGCCGCTGGTGGGCCTCTGGACGTCCGTCTCCTTGTTCAACATGATCGGCAACATTTTGTTTATCGTGGGCAGCTACTACTTTTTGCCCAAGTTTTTGTACGTCGAAGGCGATGCCGCCGTGGACAATTTGGTGTACAGCACCAACTACTTTGTCGTCGGGTCCGTTGCGTTTATCATCGCACCCTTCGCGCAAATCGCCGGTACCTACAACGACCTTGTCGCCCAAGCGCCTGTTGCCAAGGCTGTAGACACTGTAGCCTAGACCTAACTTAGTTTAAAATGTTGTAACTCTCTTCAACTGTACAGACCGAGTCAACAACGGCACTTTGGAAGTCATCCAGTGAAATACATACTTCCAAAAATACCTCAGAAGGCTAGGACCAGTTTGTTACGAGTAATCGATTGGAGAGTGGACTCGAAAAATGTGTTGCTCTGCTTCAACAGCAATTTGCTGTCTGAAAATGTAATTCTAAGATTCTAGTATACGTATACACACCGTATATATATGGTGCACGTCATCTAAAAACTTCAACTGGCCAAATTGGAGAGTGGAGGTTTTATTATTTAACGTACAATTAATGTAGTTAACAGTACTGTAAACCCAAAAATCAAGCGTTTTATCATTGCTAGTGGGAGGTTAAAGGTCCCAACTGCCTCCGGATATTATATACGGATAAGAGGCTCATACAAAAATCCAGATACATCTCAGCGGTCACCCCTATGGCCAAATATCCAAACGCCCCTGTAAAATACCGCTAGGTTAAATATCTATTTCTGGACCAATTCAGCACCAAATTTACTGTTAATCTGAGACGTAGAATTTCTTCACCACATTGAGATGTGTCGATTCTACGTCTCAATTTGCTGAAATTTCAAATTTACTGTTAATCTGAGACGTAGAATTTCTTCACCACATTGAGATCTGTCGATTCTACGTCTCAATTTGCTGAAATTTTGAGTAATGAATATGAAATAGAAGTCAGAAAATTTTGTGAAAAGTTCGTAGTTTATAGATGACGTGCACCATACTGTAACTCTGCGAAGGCGAAAAAAACGTCTTCGCACATGTGAGGGTGCCTCACAGATCGTAGAGTCGAAATGCCTCAGTGGAGGACTACCAAAAATATCTCACTGGTTTTCCTAACTTGATCTGACAAGAGTTGATGTTCAAGCCTCGAGCTGGAGCTTTATACATGAAAAGTCACATTTTGATATGGCTAGTGTACCTCTACGAGTTGATAATCGTCATTCGTTTACAAAGGACTCGTTCATTATCCGGATAACAATTATCGGGACCACAGCGCAAGTTTGCAAAGTGATCATGAACAACGTCCTGGCGTCCATGTAGGTGGCCGCGATGTCGTTCCAAAGATGGATGCGCAAGTGGTAGTGGATGATGATACGTATGTAGAGTCCAAGAAGATGGAGTGAGTGGAGTGGTCTGGAATGACGCGCAAGGGCTTCTTCTTGGAGCGCATGGGGACTTTGAAGACGCGCGATTCGGTTTGGGAGCGCTGAACACTTTGGTGGCGCGGGCGAACGCGTTGAACACGTCTGACGAGAAGGACGTGGCTCCCGTCGTGCGGATCGAAACCACGAAGCGCATCGTGGTGGTGCAACAGCAGAAGGACAGCACGGTATTGGCCGTGTCGACGTCGAAACCAATCTCGTCCACAGAATAACACGATATACAACGGACAAGTGCAACGAACTCTCTTATGTCTACGGCTAGTCCAATATGCTACGATACGCTTCTTCGAACGGCTGTCCAGACATAGTCTTGCCTTGCAGAACCTGAATCATTTGGCGTTCAAATGACGACGACGCGGCCTTTTCGCGGGACAGCGCCGCCATCATCCTGTCAAACGACGATGGCAGGTCACACTCCTGTTGGATGGAAGGCGGCAGTTTTGTGGGATTAACTGCATCGATCTTGACTTGCACATCCGTGGGCACATGCGGCAGTGGCGGGTCCAGCACCGAGTCGGGGGCCACAGACGTCGCGGTGTACCAGCTGCGCCAGTGGGTGGACGCCAAGTGCGCATAAAACGCCTTCTCTTCCGCTGAAATTGCTGGCGTGGATATGGCGCTGCTGTATTCTTTGGGCTTGGTGGACAAGGCCGCGTTGGACTGACGGATAAAGTTGGCTTGACCCGACGAGAGGAACCACGTGCTTAACGGAGAACACGCGACTCGAGTCGACAAGTTGGAGGACAACGACGCCGATGGGGACGGAGTGGTGCCAAACGAAGTGACTGTCCACGAAGGCGTCGATGGGGCCACGGGTGAAGGAACGTGGCTTGGAAGCATGGACGGGGGCTGGGGGAAGAGGGGCGGCGGCGCTTGACGGGTACTGGCGGGTCGGGGTGCAACGCCCACGATCGAGGACGGGGCCGACGATGCCGGGGTGGTGGTGGTGGCGACGGATGGAGCGTGGAGCCGTCGAGGGATTGACGCCGCCAAGGGGGTGGCGGGAGTGGATTGGGGTTGTGGGCGAGGCGTGGGTATTGTCGTGGGAATCAGGTCGACGTTCCTGTGACTTCGAAATGCTGGGGAAACTGGCGATGGAGGATCCTGTGTACGAGGGGCACGAGTTATCGTTGAACCCGTGTTGACAACGGTGGGGGGAGTTGGAGATGCGATGGTGGGGGCTGCAGGTGGGACCGACCAACCGGCTGGGGTCACGACAGGACTCGGCGCCTTTGTCGGACAAGGTTCAGACGGTGAAGCAGCCACTGTTGTTTGCTCTCGTGACACGGAAGGGCTAGATGACCGGACGAGGGGTTCGCTCAATGCGCTCCGAGGTGTCGTCGTGTCCACCGATGGCGCAATGTCAGGAACTGGTGTCGATTGTTTGGGGGTGGTTGCGTTTGGTGGAAAATGAGTGGCTTCTGGATCCATAAGGGGTGATAATGGAGCAGAGGTTGGTTGTAGCACTGGATGCTTTGTTGGGGAAGTGGCTGGTGGCACTGGAGCAGATGTGGATGCAACTCGGGACGCATTTGTACTTGGCATTTGGGTGGTGGTGGCTTCTGGGGTGGCAGCAGGCTTGAGAATGTCTGGAGCCACCGCCGATGGTAGTGTCACAACATCACATGGCTTGGCATCCACACGAGGGGTCGTGCTGGCAGGAGTAGTGGAGTTGCTTGGCGACTTTGCGGGAGTTGTTTTTCGACCAGGGGACGGCAGCGTTTCATTGTGCACACTTGGTTCTGTAGGCTTTGTCATCACTTTGTCACCAGGACCAGACGAGTCATGTCCTTTAGCTAGTGGAGCGGGCTCGCTTGTGGATTCAGAATCGACAGTTGGTGTCTCTGGAGTGAACTTCGCTGAGGTGGCACTCGATGATATGGATGACACTACTGTACAAGGGACGGATGTCTTAATCGTGCCAGCAGGGGTATCCGACGTGATCGCGTTGCTCGTTCTGGCTTGCTTTGAAACCACTGGATTTGGTGCGTTGGGGGGGGTGGACACGTGACGGCCGCTGGTAGCTATGTTAGAATTGCGTACAGGACGTTCAACTGGCTGAGGTGGGGCCCGTACAGGACTTGCGTTGATTGAATCAGCCACAACGACTAGGGTCGAAGTCGCGACGACCATTGACGGTAGTTGTTCGGTGTCACTGGGAACAGTGGCCACTGCCTTCAACGCTTTCGCGAACGCTCTTCCGGCCGCCAGCGACGACTTTGTTGTGACGTGTGATGGCTCCACTGGATTTGAAGGGGATGAGGACACCTCGGGGGTCCCAGTAGTAGGACTATCAGTGGCCACATCTGGTCCCTGGTTGAGCTGTTTGGCGGCGGCTGCCGCCGCACGGTTCGCTTTCTTCCTCTTCTTCGCAAGGGACGATTTCGAGGGCAACGAAGGGAGGGAAAGATTAGCTGGAGGGGTGCCTTGAGCACCAGGTGGCGGAGTCGGGCGTACTTTAGCCGACGTATGACCTCCTTGCTTGTCTGGAACGTTCGGCGACATGTCATTGGACAATTGCGCCACGGCCTTGGTACCTCCTTTGGGATGTACTGGTGCCAGTGGACCCCCACTGGGAGGTGTTGGTTTGTTCGTTGAAACCCTCGGCAGTGATTTCGCGGATGCGGTGAGTGGCGTCGACGTTGACGACCCGATGGCGGCAGCGTTCAGCCGCCGCGCGACTTTCATAGGCGATTCCGTAACACTGGAGTTCTCCCCAGGAGAAATATCACTTGCGTCCCCGCTCGTCCCGGCCTTTTTGCGCTTTTTCTTCTTGGACTTGGATTTTCCGCTCGATGATGTTCCATCGTATTGGTCGGCACTGACGGGCACAGATGGAGTGACTGGAGCATTTGATCTGAGATTGATAGCGCCGCGCGACGTAACCACCGGCTTTGTCGCCACAGGAGCGGGGGAAGGGTCACACGCAGCATGCTTGGCCTTTTTCGACATCGAACCAACGTCCGACGTGGCATCCGGGGCTATTGCTGCGGCAGCTACCTGTCTTCCTGGAGGCACATAGTGCGCGCTCTTCGCTCTGTTCTTTCTCTTTTTTCCTTGCCCTCGACCGCCGGCTGGCGCTGCATCTTCCTTTGTCATACTCGAAGGGCTTGTTTCGGCGCGACGAATGCTTCCAATAACGTCCCGACAAATTATCCGGATCGTCGAAATTGCCGGATAATCTACCAAGAGTATCCGGATCGAGTTCGTACAGTAGATCATCCGGATGATTGATGAATGTTACCGTGTCCACGCAGGTGTCGGTCGTGCCAGTCCGTGGATGCGTCCCAAACAACTCGAAAAGTGTTACGTGCAGGCACGTCAAGACTGTACTTGTCCCTCTACCTCTGCAATTATGTTCCCTCATAAGATGGACGCCTAAATCAACCATTCTTGAATTTGACCCATTCTGACAACGACCGCCCCAGACATCATGGACAACAACACTGCACCCCCCGCCACCCTTGCCGTCGACATCAACCTGGACATGACTGAAGCGCCTGAGGAGTGGATCGATAGCTCAATCGAGTTAGAGCTTGACAACGACACTATGGACGTGGTGTGGCTGCAAGATCGTTGCACATGCACCGCAATGCCATGCAAGTGCACAACATTCCGACTCCCCCCCGCAGCCGTCGACATCAATGTCGTCGATTTTGGACCCCCCCTTGCCACGCCCCCCTCGAGAACTACTTCAAGATCGTCAAAATAGCTAGGCGATCGATTGTATTAAATTTAACATTGCACTCCAATTGTGCGATCGTATTTGAGCTCTGTCTTACCTTTTAGAACTTCGTCCACGGGGAATGTAGGCAACCTACTAAGTACATACTAGTATTGCATTGCATTGCATCAATGGTAGCGTTTCTTTTCTCGTCTACACCTGTTGATTGACAAAATTACTGTACTCTTCAAACTCCTCCCCTGCCAAATCCAAGCTCCAAGACTAATTCCAGGGTCGCCGATCTAGTACGTAGTAACATGCTACGTACCTAGGATGGTGGGGTATCGCTCTACTAATGGCTACATGGTAAGCTTACTACGTAAGCCGAGTCGAATGCACCAGTACTTGGGCCATACTGTGTGAGTACCAACCAGAATGATGTACTCGCACAGAATGATGTACTCGCACAGAATGATGCACTCACACAGAATGATGCACTCAAACACAATGATGTACATCATTCATCCGGATATCCTTGCAACTCACGAAGACTCATCATTCCTCCCATGTTGAAGGGTTGTTGACATCTCATCATCATGACCATCGCTTGTTGCTGACAGTGTGACTGCCATTGCTGCGTTGACCACTTCTCAAGCCAAGAAGTCTCCCCGCGCCTTGCACTCTCATGATTTCTGACAAAGGTCGGAGCTCTGTCAATTTAACCATGAACCTGCTACAGAGTGGCCAACGATACTGTACCGGTAGTACAATTCACTGCAATTCCCAGTATTTATGCTTGCACGCGAGCGATCGAAGCGGGCAAAATTGTCTACGAGTGGCGACCCCCTTGTGAATTCGCTCCTGTGGCGTACTCCTCTACAATCGTATTTGGCAGTCACATTGTGCTTGTGATCTTCAGTGTATTCTGTACTCTACGGTAGTTGGAACGACACCACCCTCTGACGACCTGGGTAGCCTCGTTCGTCCAGCTCACGTTACACAGCACCACTTCACCACCCAAGCAAGGGTTCTCGATCATGGGACCTGTACAGCTGTACTCGCTTCCAACCATCATGCATGTGATGTTAGCCGACCGCACATCAGCTGTATCTAGCCGTCTGACGTAGCATGCCTTGTGTGCTGGTCCGTCACCTCAACGGCCACACACTCAACCCCGACGCCATGGTACCAAGGACACTATTGGGCTTTGGTGAGCAAAAGCAGGATTATCGAGCACAGGTTCGTTTTTTTTTCTGCAAAAAAAAAGGTAACGCGCTGATGCACTGTTTGAATGGAACTGAAAAAAGAGTTTTTTCAAGTTGGAATGTAATCCTGGCTTGTGATTGGCTCAATTGGCCCCCCGTTCAAATTTATGGTTGGTGGGGGTGCTTTCGCCAAGACATTGGCGGTCCTCAGTTGTCACTTTTCACTCCTGACAGGACATTCTACCACCCCTCGACTGCCATGGTAGGTCCTGCCACCATCATCGTCGCCGCGAATGCTTCGTGTGCTTACTCGCTTTGTGCATATATGTGCTTATCCGATGCGCGTTTGTCTCGTGATTCTAGGCATCCCACAACATCTTCGCCGCTCTCGACTCTGATGACGAAGACACCAAGACGGTGCAAGTGCCTGCCTCCAAAGTGGCTGAGCCCACCAAGCCCAAGACCGTGAAGGCCCGCAAGGAAGGCGAACAACCCGCCAAGAAGCAAGACGGTGGCCGCAACGGCGGACGCGGTGGTCGCGGTGAAGGCCGTGGCGGCCGTGAAGGTGGCCGTGGTGGTCGCGGTGAAGGCCGTGGCCCCCGCCCCGACGGTGAACGCACCGAACGTGCTCCTCGCCCTGAAGGCGAACGCCGCCCTCGCTCGGAACGCGCTCCTCGCGCTGACCGCCCTGAAGGCTCCACCGGCACCAACCTCCGTGCTGAACGTGAACGTGGCGAACGCCCTGACCGCTCGCACCACCATGCCGAAGGCGGTGAACGCACCGAACGCAAGCGAAACTTTGACCGCAAGAGCGGCACTGGTCGCGGCAAGGAAGTGTCCAAGTCTGGTGGCGGTGCCCGCAACTGGGGCAACGAAGACGACAAGACCGAACAGTACGTTGTGGTCCCGTGCATGTCGTCCGTAGGGCGTCGTGGTTGACAGAATGATGAAATAGAGCTGCAGAAGCCGCGGTGGACGAAGCCGTCGCGGACGAAGCCAAGGAAATCGCCGCAGAAGACGCCGTGCCCGAAGTGGCCGTGGTCGAAGAAGAAGTGGACAACACGATCACGTACGAAGAGTACTTGGCGTCCAAGAAGAGCTCGCGCTCGAACGACGAGTTGTTTGCCGACAAGGAACTCCGCACGGTCGAAAACGAATTTGAATCCGCCGCGTTGATCACCAAGCATGGCAAGACCCCCGACTTTATCGAGTCGAACTTTGAAAAAGTGTTCACGAAGAAGACGTCGGGCCGCAAGAAGAACCTCGTGACCGACGTGGGCTTCACCGCGCCTTCCATCAGCGGCCCCCGCTTTGACCGTGAAGACCGCGAAGACCGCCCTGCCGGTGGTCGCGGCGGCCGCGGTGGCCGTGGTGAAGGTGCCCGTGGTGGCCGTGGCGGCCGTGGCGCTGCCGGTGCCGGTCGCGGGGACGTGAAGAAGTCGAAGGCCAACGCCCCCAACGTGTCTGACGTGAACGCGTTCCCTTCGCTCTAAGTCCGTCATTTGACTTGAGATGCGAGGATGCCTTTGGTCGTCCCGGGGTGGACGAAGTTGAGTGGTCGATCGATGCCTAAGCGATGCTGCAATTTTATTAGTGTCGCGGGGATTATTGAAAATACTCAACAAGCCATTGCCAGGACGGGGAAAAGATGTTTAATAGGGTATGCTGCTTTGTAGATCTTGTTTTGCGGTATACTTTTGTTGGAATTACTTTCATAACTGGAACAGCAAAGACGGGACCTGTACTACAACGACTACTACTACTGTACTACTACTAAGTTGCCATCCCAGCCTGCATAGGACAATGTCACACAACGAGGGCTGCCTGCGCAACGTCGATTGAACCCAGCTAACCTTCGCATAGTGGTTCACCTACAGCCAGTAGTAAACGTTTAGCCAGGAATCAATTTTGTACTGTGGTTCGCAATATTAATACCATTTGTAGCCGTAGTTACTTGCGACTCCAAACGCGGTACATGTCCTTCGCGCTGGGCGCTTCCACAGTCGTAGTAGCCACACATGCTGATCGATGCCTGGAATGGAATGAATCGACTCATGTTGAGCGAACTTGGTGTGCCAACTACATTCATTACCACAAATGATGGGAATGTAGGTTTTCCAGCCCAAACGGACTGTGATTGGCTACATATGTACTTGGGAGTTACTAAAGCACACGAATTGATGAGATTTGCACCGCCGGCATGGACATGACGCATGCATTCTTCGCGCGTCATTTTGGCTCGGATCGCATGCAAACGGTGCTCGAGGTCATGGAATACACCCCTGCGCTAGATCCATCGCAAGATGTTTTCTCGTACTTGACGCACTGACGAACGATAATGCATGTCCCGGGTATCATGGGAGTATACATCTCGTTTTGGTTTACAAAGGCCCCTCACCAACTACTAGTACATATGCTACGTATGGCGCCAACTCGCTCCTGCATTGTACGCTTGCCACGTCATCAAGACAATGTGAAGGAATTCGTGCCTGCTGCTACTGGTATATGTGCACTGTAACGTTTATACAATCAGCAACGGCCACACTCAGGGGGAAGGTCAGTGGATGCTCCTTCGACGTGGAATTGTCGCCCTTTGAGGGTTGACCACCCAGTAAGCATGGAAATGCATGTCAATCTCAGCCAACCATTCGAGTTGCACCACTCAGAGTAAGTTAACAACGATCCAAATATCGAAACCTAGAGGGTACGTTCGTTATACGTGCATAGTACTTACTTACTATTTGGATGTTTGGTTATTGTGCTTTCCAGTGAAATTTCGTGTTGTGGCGTGGTTTCTCGTTGGAATTTAAATCGATTTGATTGGCTACCTCAGATGAGCTCAAAATTATTAGCCAATCAAAACCTTCTCAATGAAATTTAACCAATTCACCCCCTCCCCAAATTTGTATCAAATCGACAATATGGGAATAACTATTTTTTCCAACTTGTATATCGAGTATTATTTAATACCCTGCTAATAGTAGTACCCTTCAACACACACGAGCTTGGGCTCCTCACAATCCCACAGGGTTGGTCTGTCATGATGTAGTTATTAATATGTCATCACGACACAACCGAAACACGGTCAAAGACGATGTTAGGGTCGTCGATGCACTGGCCATGGCGGAACTCATGCCGCCGCCGGTCGCCCGACGCGCGACACGTGTACATGCCAGCGCCATGGGGGTACCCGCGGCACCACTGGCCATGGAACACCGCGTGTTGACATGTAAAGTAGCCCACGCCATGGGGCAGATCAGCCTCCCACATGCCCTCGTACACTTCAAAGTCGAGATCACCACCGTCATGAGTCGGACTCCACCGAAACACGCCGCGGCCGTGCCGACGGTTCTGGGCAAATGCGCCTTCATACACTGCGCCAGTGGCATACTCGACGCGTCCGTGGCCGTGAAACTGGCCTTTTACAAACAAACCCACATACACATTCGGTGACGACGACGGTGACGACAACGGTGACGACGATACAAACTCGAGGCGCCCCGATCCGTCCATTTGATTGCACACCCACATACCCACATACGTTTGCTGGCGCAGTGGGGACTCCAAAATGCCAAAGCCAGCTTGGACACTGCGTTCCAAACGGCCGCGGTAGACATTCCCGTTGCGAAAGGTCTTGATGCCGTCGCCAGTCAACGTCCCGTCGTCGCCGTTCCATGTCGATGCGCCCGCCGTGCCTTGCAATGTGTCGCCGTTTGCAAAGCGCTTTAGGCCGTGGGCGATGACGCCTTTGACCCATGTGCCTACGTGCAACAGCCGCCGCTCGTTCCGTCATGATAGGATGCAAGACAACCAAACATGACGTGGATGTACCTTCAAAGACATCCCCGCTGGATGCACAGAGAAAGATGCCGTCACCATGCATCTAATGAGGGAGGAGTCCATCAGGTGTTGTGTGTTCGGAAGATTATCGGAGGAGCAACATACCCGCCCGTTGTAGAACTCGCCAATGTACTTGTCGCCGTTCGTCCAAAGATATGTGCCGCGCCCGTGCCGCTTGTCCTTGTGATACATGCCTTCGTGGCGATCGTGGGTGACCGCAAAATCCCGCGTGCCAAAGCTATTGACACCCAATGACATCGTCTCGCATGACGATCGTAGGATATGTACCCGTGGAAGCGATCGTAAGACCACTGACCGTCCAGGACATCGCCATGAGACGTGCGAAACACACCCTTGCCATGGCGCTGTCGTGATTCAATATGGATTTCGCCCACGTAGACACTCGCGTCGTCGTACTTGAGGGTGTACACTTGGAGCTTCACCTTCTGGCATGTGAGCACACGAGAGCACTGCTTCTTCGTCTTTTTGGTGGACATCTCATGCGTCTTTGTTGAGCGCACATCCCCAAGCGACGGCGTTGTCGACGACGGCCGCCGCCTCGTTGCCATCCCCGTACAGAAAGTCTAAGCGAATGATGGTCGATTTATTCTATCCAATGAAAACGAAGGATTCAATCGTCCGGATAATGCGGAGAAGCATAATATAGTGTTGACTTTTTTCTGCTTTGAGGGCTACTACAGTACCACACCCAGTACATTGTTGAAAGCAAAATGCAATTTCGTGGGGCAATACAGTACTAATACCGTAGAGATCAAGTACTACGTGGTACTACTGGTCACGCACTTCAACGATGACGTGTTATGGGTGGCATAACGTCGTGTTTCGTCGAGGTTATGCGATCTATCCACGGCTATAGCCTATTCGAGGTATAGTGTCTTGGTGTTTGCAATGTGCCAGAAGAACCCTGCGACGGGGGCAATGTCTTGAAACATCACCGTGTGAATACCAAGCGACCCGTAAGCGCAGGCTTCGCCGACGATGGCGCCTGCGCGGGTCACAGCGCCTGGTTCGATCAGAGTCGCCAGCGCCGCGCCGAGGGATGTGTATGCCAGAACGGTGAAGAAGCGGTGGAGACTCCGCCGCAAACACGCTGGCCATGCACGCACGGGTCGTCGACACATGTCGAGGCCCGACTCCACGATGAGAACGGCGGCGTTCGGGAGGATCGCGGAGCGAAAGGCGGTGTGAAAGATGAGCGACGCTACGATGGTCCGGTTGCACTGGTATCGTGCGTACTTTCGAAGTGACGATTTGGCCACGTCTTTCATCAAGGCTCCTAGAATAGTGCAAGCATCCCACTAGATGAGAACAACGACGATGGCGCCAACACTGCTACTGTATAGTTCACCTGCAATCCTAGGTGTGAAGCATTGCACGCTGATTTCTTCTAACACCCGCGTCACGGTTGTGTAGCTGATGGCCCGCCAAAACGACAAGGACCATGCTGAAAGCACAGTTGAGACAGAGTCTGGGATGGCGTACGGATTGGCGACCGCGACGACGCCTGCGCGGAGCAAGGTCAGCGTCAAAGATTCCTGGCTCAGATGGGCCATAAATGCCTTTCTGTCCACGAGGTAGTTCTTCCCGTACAGAAGGTTTGCGAACTGCAACTTCATCTTGCGCGCCAGCGCGGCACGCACGAGAGCACTCGACACCACGTCTCCAGGCGGCAGCGTCGCCATTTTGATCAAGGTGATGTTGGTATCCGGATGATTTGCCACAACTCCACTGGCAGTAAGCTGACTGCTGTGGTACTACTGTACTAGTATTGTGGACTCGTCCAATCGAATCTCGCCGCCGAATCGAATCACGAATCGACGCTATTGGTTAATCCAAATTTAAATGGATTTGATTGGCTCTTAACACAGAAAGCACAAGTATAGTCAGCCAATCAGAACTTCCAGCGTGTTTTAATATTGACTACCGGTAGAAAACCAGGCGAATTTCTGAATTATATATTAATAGCGAATTCACAATACTACACCCAAGGAACACTGATTGGCAATAAATATGTTACAACTCATTTGTCCATCACCCCCAAATTTCTCCAATACTAGTACCAGTAATACTTTTTTACTGTTAATCCGTCCGATGTTTTTTTCTATATATTTAATACTGTAGTATTAATACGGTAGTTCCATACCTATACGTACACGTACAGTATCAGGATGCTTCAAGATACTTTTTGTTGTCACCTAATTGACAGTGAGTCACTGGTAATTTACTACTGTACCATGGTGTATGATGGGCAGTTGAGATCAGGTGGGAAGCAAATTTGTTTCGAAAATATATCATTGTCATCCAAGCAATTTCTACAGTAGTTTTATCAGAGGAGAGAGTAGTCGTGCAATTGGACAATAATTCAAAAACGGTCAAACTATGTTGAAACTCTGGTAATTAACGGTTTGAACTTCTTGATACGATCATGGTTGAAATGTTAAAAGGTTGGTATTGTGAATTCGCTATAAACTTCCAAAATTCGCCTGGTTTGTCGAATCAATATTATTGAATCACGTCGGAGTTCTGATTGGTTGAACATACTTATCCTTTCTGCAAGAGCCAATCAAATCCACTCAAAAATGGATTAGTTAATAGCGTCGATTCGTGATTCGATTCAGCAGCGAGATTCGATACGACGGGGTCTGGAAATTCGTATCGAATCCACAATACTTCCAAGTGCATAACAGAAATGGTTGCGCTTCGGGGGATGGACGAACAAGTTCGAAGATAGTGGACGACTTTGCTGGTACTTACAGTTAATGCAACAGATACATAAATGCAACGAACAAATGCACTATTTTAATAGTGCGTATTATTAAAATAATACGTAAACTATTAATAGTAGTACTAATATAAAAAGATTTTCCACCATCACTCCGTTTCATCAAATCTGATACTAGTAATGTGACTTTTGATTTGACAAGGCAGTTGATTCATTTTCAAATGAACTCTCATCATGTTTGCAAGTGCACCAGTACCAATGACGCAATTCGGCAACAATAAAAAACCATCCTGAAGCATATCGAGCCTTCAAATGTCAAGTCCTGCGACTCCACGCCCCACCAATGCCATCGTGTTGTCGTGGAACGATTTTCTCTGCCCTGTCGAGTGGCTCCAGCGAAACGTCCCCCCGACCTCCACAACACACTCGTGCCTACTCCAGCTGGACCAGCGCATTATTCAGCTGCTCCTCCACGCGAGCACCATCGGACTCGTCTTTGTCCTGTGCGAAAGCGGTGCGTCGTTCATCGAAGGGCTATGCGCAGCTTACTTGCCTGGCTGCGCATAGTTGTTCTCGCCCCCCCAGCACCAAGCGCTGATTCAGCTAATCTGCGCCGCCACGACCCTCACGTCAGCATGGCACGGACAAATCCTTCAGATGATCTGCATCCAACGATTGCACGTGAGTGCCTCGTATGGGTTGGTGACTGTGGGGGGCGACGAGTTGCGAGGGGGTTGCTTGGTGTTGGCGAAGAATGCGCCTGTGGTGTTGCCCAAGGTGCTGCGCGTGGTGAAGACAACGGACTTGACTGGCGGCATGCCATGGATCCTCCATAGTCTCGTGGGCGTGGGGAGACAGCTGGGGTCCCTGTTCAACACGGCAGCATTGTGGACTTGTCCGTTGAAGTTATGATTGCATTTATACTCGTCTCTAGAGTACACAAGAATTGTAAGCAGGGTCAACTTCAAAGGACCGTTTCGAGGATACGATAAATAAAAATATATATATAGATAATATTTTCGAAATTAATTCAAAAATATTAATGAAATCTAATTTTATTTTAAGCTCGAAATATCTCGGAGGCTTCACACGCATGGAAATGATGTCGCTAACGTTAGGGGGCAATCTAGATGTTCGTGTAAAGAAGTTCCAGAGTTGATTTGAATCTGACATTACTCTCTTTCTTGGAGTTCTCCTACTGTTGTTGCAACAACAGTAACCTACAACCTGCAAATATATTATTGGTATTTGAAAATACGCCTGCTACATGCCTCGAGGTATTGCGCTCCTCACACCATGACAGTGTGGTAGCGGATGCCGTTCTGATCCAATCTGGACCGCACGTGGGCTTTGTACAGATTGCCAGCTGCGATATCGTCCACAGCCGACGCCACACTAGTCACCACTCGCCACTCGTTCCAGTGCCCCTTGTCCAGCTCCACCACCACGTCAAACACAGCCTCGTCTGCAGTCCCCCCTTTCTGCAGTCGATCTCCGCCGTCCAAAGTACTCGACACCCTGTCACGCACTCCCTCGACCAGGCCCTTGTCTTGGACCAACTGGCGCAGGCCGCCATAAGCCATCGACGCTACAATGCGCACCCCGCGCTGTTTGCACGTCCGCGCGGCGTCGATGTCGCTGCCCGACCGCCCAAGTTCGTCCACCACCAGCACCTGTGGCCTGTGGTTCCGCACGACGTCGGCCATCACAGCCCCCTGTACCTCCAGCGACGGCACCATGACCCGCCGTGCTAGGCCCACGCTAGGGTGTGGCACGTCTCCATCCCCTAAGGATTCAACAGAAATGGACAATGTTTGTGAGGTGTATGTATTGCATTCGCAACAGGTACAGATGATATGGTTGGGGGGGGTGATATTGCATTGGATTGGATTTCTCACCGGCAATGTCGTTGGTCGTGTCCACGATACACACGTGGCGTGTCTCTGAAACCACTCGAGCCACGTCTCGGAGGATGGTGGTCTTGCCGCTGCCGGATTCGCCGAGAAACAAAATGTTCAAGTCGGTCGACAGCAACAGATCCAGCAACAATGTCGACGCGCCGTACACGTGCTGACCCACTTGCATGGTGACGCCCACAATCTCGTGGTGGCGGTTGCGGAGGCCACTGATGCGATGCAACTGCTTGTCCACCCCCCTCGCGCGGTTAGCCGGGCCCTCCAACCCGCCGACCTTGGCCACGATCGCCTCCAATTCGGCAGCGGACACTTCCCTGGACGGATCCTCCGACAGCATCACGCGGGTGCCGCCTTGGTTCCACGCCCACGGCCGCCGGCCCACGTCCAGCACAATGCTCGACAGCGCAGTGGTCATGGCTCGCAGAGGCCGCACGAGGTCCGTCGGCAGCAGGGACAAGAGGGGCTCCAACTCTTGGTGGGTAATAAGGTCCGGAAACTGAAACACGTTGAACGGATGGGTGGTCATCAATAGCTCAAACGACACTAATTTGTGGCGGTTGGCGGTATCCATGGCTAGGATTCGCTGGTCAGTCTTGAATCTGGCGGCAGACCGAAGGCGGGTGTCCGAGGCAGTTTGCACGGCGCACCACGACATGATGGCCAATTCATCGGCAACATGAGTCGTGTATCGATCGAGAAGGCGCACGACGTCGTACGCAGCACATTCGACGGGCGATGGCTTCTTTCGTGTTTGTTGTGCCAAGTCAGAGTTTGTGGAAGGGTGCAACGAGCCTCCTGGTAGCGTGTCCAGCATCGTGTCCAATCCCATGTCCAAACGCCCAGTTTGGAACTCCATGTACAGTTGCATGTCAAATGAGCCTAGAACGTGGACATTTGGGAGAATGGCGTGGATGGCGTGCAAGTTAAAGCATACTTTGGTGATGGCGGGGCTGTGCAGCACAGGTCCCAGCAGTTGCATCACGGTGGCCGCGCCAATTGCAACACAATCGACGACATACGTGGCAGTCTGGGTGGCCAGCCCAACCAAGTGCAATGTCGACGGGGCCCCTTTCCAGTCGATGGCGATCATAGCTTTGCCGCCAACTTGGAACGCTGTGTCTGATGCCAGCAATTGGGTCAGTTGGTGCACCGTGTTGGCAACAATAACCTTTTCGCCAGTGACGAGGAGTTTGCAAGTCGGCGTGGATGAAGTAGGACGCTCCGTGGACGATGATGGCAAGGCTTGCGACAAGGGCAACGTAGGTTTCACCAAGGGGGCAACTGTCTTGGAGGCACTTGGGTTGGGATGTTGTTGATTGGCTGTGGTGTTGGGATGTTGTTTGTTCAAGAAAAATACCCGTCGACGTTGGTCGTCTAGGGTGTATATGAGCCGGGGGTCTAGCTTCATCCTATCGACGATGCATTCCACGAGAGCACTGGTGGAAACCCCTGGGATCGGACTGACTTTGGTCCGCCCAATAATATCTGCGACGTGGTACGGGTTCCCCTTGTTCGTGGCTAGCCATCGGAGGGCGCTGAACGTAAACTTGTCTGCCTCCATCTGCACAAAGTCTTGGGATGGATTGACGGGAAGCACTTCAGACATCGGTTGGTGATTTGATGGCGTCGAGGCTCGATCACCGCCATCAACTTGGCTACCATCATCGACGTAGTCCTCGTCGTCATCGCTGTCATGGTTCCGATTCGAATCTCCAACACTTTCCTTGTCAGATGCCAAGTCGTCGCTCGAGTAGTCGCTGCTATTGCTGCTGCTACTGATACTGGCATTGTCGTCCGCCGCCAGTGGCTTCTCCTGGACACTGCTGTTCAGTCCACGCAACACATAGTCAAGTCCGCGCATCGCATACTCGACAATCAAGTCGACATCGTCCAATGTGATGGCATGTCCAGGGAACGCCGGCAGCACTTGGCCGTGTGCAATCAGCACGAGGCTGCATCCGTTGGCAAATGTCGACGTCACGCTGTGGCTGTAATGGTCCAAGTCGATGGTACCCACACTCAAGTCGGTGCTAGCGAGGGCCAGCGCTACTACATGCAGCACCGTCACGACGTTGTCGCCGTCGCCGTTCACGTTGCCTCTGTAGAGCCACACCAGCCAACTCCCATCCACTCCGTCTCCTTGCACAATCTGCTCCAACCTCGTCCCAGTCAACTCATGCACGGTCTTTCGAGTCCAAGGTTCGGGTGGTGGTTGTTGCTGTTGTGACGAGGTTACTTCCACGCTTTCCGAATCGCTTTCCGAATCGCTTCTTCCCCTGCTGGAACTGTCGTCAGTGGTTAATCGAGCCATCCCGGGGGGTGAAGACGGCGGTTTGCCGCGGTCGAGCGGCAGTAGTCTCTCGGATGTGTCCATGGTAACACTCCAAATATCGTTGGGCCACGACGACGTCTGATGTGTCGCAGCTGGGATCGGTGTCACATCACGCAGCGCGCTAGGCAGGGAGGAGCCAGTCACACTAGTTATGTCCTTGTCTTCCGGATACCGGGGAGTGTCGGGGCTCGCCTCGCTGGCCCCGTCGGCGCCCCCTTCGTCCGCCACGTGCGCATACTGCATGTCTGGATCGTGGGACGCTGGGGACTCTAGCGCTGTGGAGTTTGCCGCCTTGGTCAATACAAAGCTCGGCGCTGGAAACTTCACATACATTAACTGTCCATCCCGTGTCATGCCATCCACAATGCGCGAGATCAACGCCTCATGGGACACGCCACTGGGTCGGTTTTTAGCTTTGGCGATCTGGCCCTCAATATTGGACACGTGGTAACGCTCGAGCTTGACCAGTGCCTGAAGAGCGTACCCCGAAAACGTGGCAATGGCTTCGGCGACAAACTCGTCAGCTGCGGACGTCGACGGTGTCAAATGCACGGGGTACGGCGGCGGCGGTGACGTGGACGACGGGAGGGGAGGCGCCGCTATCACGTTTTGCGCCTGCTCGTCGGGACTGCAGTATGGCCGATCGAGGCGGCTAATGAGCACTTTTCCCCGTTCATCGACTTGGAGTTGCAGCTGGTGGTGGGCCGTCACGCCTTGGACCACGCGGTGGACGTACTGTGCGTGCGTCATGCCACGTGGAAGGCTGTCGATTTTTTCCTGGGTCTGCTTGGCGATCACGTCGACCCAATAGACGGGGTATTGCTCCAACACTTTGAGCACCTTGACCGTGAACATTTCCACGGCGGCGTGCACGGCGGCGGAAGCCGCCGCGTCGTCGCCGTTCAACGAGGGGGGGGGTACTTCAGGGGACACAACTTCGCCCGACAGACAACCGACAGGCGACAGCCGGACGAACGTGGGGCTCGTGGAGGCTGGGGTCGGCCATTGCGTGGGAAGAGGAGGAGAGGCGGTCGCAGTGGCCCGTTGGCCCCATATGCCGTCTAGGGTTTGCGCCGTGTCACTGGGGCGTTGACTGCCTCCTTGGTCAGAGTCCCAAGTTATGGACTCGTCACTCTTGTTTGTTCGCACAACCAACACTGGTGGCGATGATGGGGATGGTTTAGATGGGCTTGGTCCCATTGACGACGACGATGCTTGGGTTAGACGAGGCTTAGTCAAGACAAAGCAAGGAGTGGGGGACGCCTCGTACGTCAGTTGTTCGTGCTGTTGGACGCCCACTACAATGAGATCGACCAGCTCGTCGTGGGGCACGCCACGTGGACGGTTGGGGGCTTTGGCCGTCTGTCCAACAATGTTGGACACGTGGTAGCGTTCGATCTTGGTCAACGCTTTAAGCGCGTACGCTGTAAACGTGGTCACGGCTTCGGCTACAAACACGTCGACGGCTCGAGCCGTGGTGGGTCCTTTGAAGGGTAGTGGGGGTGCCACGTCATCGACGTGGTCGTACGGTCGATCAATGCGACGGATATACGCTTTGCCCCGATCGTCCACTGCGAGTTGCAACTCGTCGTGAGATGCCACGCCATGGACGACGCGGTCGACAAACTGCTCGTGTGTGATGCCACGTGGAAGGCTGACGTTGTCCTGGGTCCATTTCGCAAGCACATCGACCCAATAGACGGGGAGCTTGTCTAATAAACTGAGCGCCTTGGCCGTAAACAATTGCACTGCGTCCTGGACGAGGGCGGTCGCGGCGTCTTCGTCTTCGGGAGTAGCGTCGTCGTCGTCGCTGTCGGACGAATCAGGATCGTCGCTTGGAAACGACTTGCCAGATAACGCATTGGCAACGGCGCGACTCCGTTGGCCGTTTGGCCGGACGGGGGCCGTCGATGGGGCGCCGGCATGGAGCGAAGGCTGACCACCTTTTCCCCACACGCCGCCACCGTCGGGGGGTCGAGCTGCTTTGGCGGCTGCCCCTACGTTCACGAGTATGAATTACAAGTTGGCACAGCTGGGAGTGGGTAGGATGGGGCTTCCAACCTGGTAGGGATGACAACATCGTGGGCCTAGCTTGGACTGTTCCACTCGACGCCGCGTTTGGCTTGGCCAAGACAAAGTACGGATTCGGTGACGCTTCATACGTAAGCTGTTCGTGTTGTTTCATGCTTGTGACAATGCGCTCGACCAGCTCGTCGTGGGGCACGCTCAGTGGTCGGTTCGGAGCTTTGGCCGTGTGGTCCGTGATGTTGGCCACGTGATACCGGTCCACCTTGGCCAACGCTGCGAGAGCTTTGGAGGTGAACGTCGCGACGCTTTTCTTTACAAACACGTCTGGCGAGTCGTGTTGGGTGCAGAATGGCCGATTGACATGGCTGATGAGGGATTGACCACGATAGTCCACTTCCAATTGCAACAGTTTATGTGCCGCCACGCCTTGGACAATGCAATCCACAAACTGCGCATGAGTCATGCCACGGGGCCGGGTGTCGTCCTTGGTTTGGTTTGCAATCACGTTGACCCAATACGCATCGAGATTGTAATGTTCAAATTGATATAGGATCTTGTTCGTGAAGTTTCTCACCGCCTGCTGCGCGATCGCGGAGGTACTAGGGTCGTCCTTCGAAGCCGTGTGATGCCTCGACATTCGCCTTATGTCAATCGGGCAATAAGAATGGACTCGCCGATGTCGGAAACCGGAATTGGGGCCACCAAAATTATCCGTACAGCGTTGTTATCCGGATCCATTTATAGAGGAAGCCACCACACAAACATGCACTAACTCATTTAGTGACCACCTAATTATAGCCAGAATATTGGTTTATACAGTGTTCGACGAATGTCGGCGCCTTGTCAATCAAAACATGGTGGACGTTTTCAAGCTGACACGATTACTGTGACTATGACATTGCGCAGCATTGTTCGGGTACTGTCTACCAGTTCTGTAGTTATATATAGCGGACACTGACAGCATAACTCTGTGAGATATCAGTGCTTGAAGTGCAATATCGGACGAGGCGAGAGGCGAGCTCGTTTCGTTTGAGGAAAACAACACACCAAATACTACAGTACGTAGTACTGCAAATGGAATACTGTACATACCAGTACTAACGTTAGTACTGTACTACTGTCCTATTAATAGTACGTAGTACTGGAGTAATTCCCTGGGAGCAATAGCTCCATCATTTCCCTTCAAAATAACCAGTAACGTTAGCCCGGTAACCTGGACTCCTTGTGTCACTATTCCTACGGTTACGTTACATCACCAGATATCGCTACAACCACTGAAATGCACATAACCCCTAACGTTAGCTGGAATGTGTTGTTTTGGTTTACATTGAGTTAGTTGCCCTTAGGGGTTAGTTCCAAATTCTAGTAGTACTTACTGTTAGTACTACAGAGTCGTTCGAACTTGACGTTGTTGGGGGGGCTCGCTTGTCAGTTAGTACACTACTTACTGTACACCGTAGTACGGCACAAGTTGGTGTCTGAGTGAAACTGTGTGTGTTGGAGCTAACAAAGGCCCTTTATCCTTAGCGAACGATGTTGCGACGTTCAACATCGTTCGAGTGCTTGTAGCGCATGTGGACTAACAGTAATAACTATGTGGAGCATAATTCAAAGCACGGTATATATATATATATATCTGCATTAAAAGAATCGTAGGTGGTTTTTCACCACCCCCTTCGTTGTCCAGTGCTTGTCGATGTGTTGGATAAAGTCGTCGCGAACTAACTTGGCCTTGGCATGCAGTTGTTGGTTAGCTTCTTTCCGAATGACCACGCCTTCAACAACCCCGTCGTAGAATTGCGACTTTGTCTCGAGCAACGTTTTCAATTGCTCCATGGAGCTGTACGTGCCTGTAAATACGGTGGGGACCATGTGGATCGACGTCTCGTCCAGAGCTTGTTGTAGCCGCTCGACGCTCCAAAAACACTCGAGCTCTCGGTCGTACATGTCGAACGCCAGGAAATAGCTGGGCAAGTTCGTGTACGCAATCGAATGCTGCGCGTACAGCCACTCGCCGTACAAAACGTAGCGGCCAGGGGGCGACAGGAGCTCGCACAGCTCAAACTGGTGCACTTGAATCCACACATCCAGGCCTTTGAACTGCGGCGCCGTCTCGCTCGTGGTATAATGCGATCGATTCTGCGCCACGACTTGAAAATCGGGCGAGAGGAACAAGCCGAGGTTGGCACCGTCGACCTTTTCTTGGCACACGATGGGCGTCCGCAGAAACGCGGACGCGTCCAACGGATCGAATACCAAATCGTCGCGGGAGATGCCGGCAGTCGGCAGCAAGTGCTTGGTGCGGGGGAACTTCATCAACACATGGTGCCCTTCGTCGTGGGGCGTCGAGGGGGCTGGAACACTAGGCGAACTCGATCCAAGTTCGTTTGAAACGCTCACAGGCGGCAACACCACCGACACTTGAATCTTGCCGAGGCTGTCCATGGCGAGTTGGGCCGCGTATTTCTGCAGATGGGCTACAACTATGTCCACGTCGCCCAACACCCCAAACGTACGGGCCATGCCGGCCGCAGCAAGCATCGGGTCGACTTCGATGGCGTGGGCATGCCACAAATCCCGCCATGATTTGGCAAGCGACCAATTGAACCAGTGGGTTAGTGTCCACGAACTAAAAGACAACGAGGATGTGTACGTCACGGCTAGCGACACTATATGGGAGGTGTCTACACAGGCACTTCGTCGCTGCACGAGTCGCGTGAGGGAACCGGAGGACGGGAACGACGCCTCGGCACTGCAGCAAATGTCGCGGCCTTCCTCCAGGGCGAGCCGGACACAAGCTTGCATATGGGGACCGATGTGGATGTTAGTCACATCCAACACTGGTTGGCTTGCGTAAAACCCTTTGACCACGTCTTTCAGTGGCAATGAAGGTGCCGTTTGAGTTTGACAAAACGCGGCCACAAGCGCCGAGATCTTAAATGTTGGCACGCCGTTGTATTGCGGTCCATGCAAGTGTTTGGCCTGGAGCTGCGTCACGATCACATCCACGCAACGACCAAACACATCGATCGACACACTCGAGTTGGCCACTTTGGCTCGGACGCTGTGCAACGTGGCAAGCCCCAGCAACGCCCGTTCGTCCGGGTTGGAACTGCTCCACCATGCCTCGACAGCACTGGGACTGCCATTGTCGTAAACGGTCAGGGCCGTTTTGTGAACAAACACAAGGTCCACTTCCAGGGGGGGCGCGTCGGGGAATGTCCACCGGGCCTTGAGCAGCGGACAGCGACTGCTGCCACTCTCGTACACGTCCGTGAGCCCCTCTCGGCGCATCGTGGCAGCCACGCGAGCCACCGCCTCGACGGCCGACTCGTCGTCGTCCAGCGCTACCAACACATCTAAGTCGGTGGCTCGGTGGAGCGCAAACGACCCGAACGGACGAACATCCTCTGCTCGAGTCCACATAGCAATGTCCGTCAAAACAGAGTGAACGCGCTGTGAAAAGTCCAAAGTGGGCACCCGATCAAGGTTCTTGAGCCACTGGAGGACCGTATACGGTTTGCCCAAGTACATCGATTTCGCATCCACGATTTCAATGGCCAACGCCGTTTTTCGGGCGCTCCACGTGCCAGCCCACGCGTACATTGCCGCCAAAATCTCGTCGTCGTCTTCGTACACGACGACGCGCTCCAGCGCCGCTGACGATTCCAACCACGACGTGAGGATGTCCAGCTTGAACGCAATATTCTCTTTGGTCCGAGCCGCCACTTGACTGTCCTGCGTCTGCCCCGCCACGTCGGCGATCAAATGGTCAGGTTTCCCCACGACCGCGTCAGGAGACACGCCGTAGATTCCGAGGACGTCGCGGATATTGGCTTCTAGAGACGTGTGGCGTGCGGTGAGCACGACTCCGCGGGCGGCCGTCGCGCCGAGAACGCGCTTGAGCTCGCCGAGCGCGGGCAGCGGTACCAGTTTTTGCGTCGGGTGGAGGCTCAGGGGAGACTTGAACCAGTCGTTGCCGACGGTGGATGCTTCTTGGGGGGTGAGGGCTTGCATGCCGTGGCGTCTTGGGGGCGGCCGAATCAAAGTCAAATCAAAATCAAACACGAACAAGCTCGTCACGGTGGGCGGCAACGACAACGTTGATCCACGAATACATGAAGACGATGCGATCTCGCCACATTGCACCACTTCCGCCAACGAAGTCAACCGACGGTGGAGGTCCGAGAAGAACCCCACGACCCCCGAGAGGGGGATGGGAAACGGCAGCGGGATGGCGTGCGTCGAGGCCAGGAGATGGTGGCTCGCCTTGGCCGAGGAGCCAGGCGCGACGGACACTGTCACATGAGGGGGGGATCCGTCGTTGTCCCACACCCCACCGCCGACGCTGGGCGAGGTCACGACCACCGCCTGGACGAACGCGTTGGCGGCAGCGGCGGACGCTTCGAACGACACGGTTGCCCCCACATGCAGCGTTTTGAGCATGGCTTCGCTTGGCTGGTAGGCGATGGTAACGTGGTCCATGATCATGTTGGCGTGAAGGGGGGCGACGTGTGTTTTCAGTCGTTTCTTGGACTGGTCGTCCAAAAAGACGGCGGCATACGTGACCGACGGCAGCTTCAACGACGACATTATTGGTGGCAGCAGTCCCTGAACCGGCAGTTTTGTGACGCAAATGTGATCGACATCTCCAACGGGCTCGAGCTGTTTGTTGTAGTCGAGCGGGATGTCATGCACAGACCGGCGCACACACGCGGCGGCGTTGTGGGAAGCGTCCAATTCCCACACATGCACCTTATACCCCGCTGCGCGTCCGTCGGCTACGTAGGCATGTACATGACGAGCGTCCATATTGGTATTGTCCACGACAACAACATCGACAGTGGACTTCATCGCGTCTTGAACTTCATGTTGGCACTGAGCATGCGCCAGTGGTAACTTTGACTTGTCAAACTTGTAGCCCCCGGACTGGTCGAAACATGAATCTGCGCTGCAAACGCGGACGCTCCAGCCGTTGGCAGCACAGAGTGCCGCAATGGACCGACTAGTGGTAGACTTACCGCTGCCTGGTACCCCTCGAAGGATCACCATCGAACGGGGAGAAAGCGGGGGAAGGCTTTCACGGGTAGTAGTTGCAACTTGATCCTGTCGCAATACCAGCGTGGGCACAAGTCGAACGTAAAACCCATCGGGGTCTAGGAGCCCGCCCGTCGCGCAGAGGTCGATCTCGGTCACCGCCTGCGACCCGAGCATCTGGTGGCTGGTGTACGTGATCGATGGAATCGACTTGTTCATTTCCCGCGTTAGCTTGCACAGCGTAACATGGGCTTCAAACGGATCGCGGTTGCCGACCGTGGAAATGCCAGCCAATTGCACGCGACGTCGCAGCAGGCCCGCAACTTGCGTTAGCGCCGGACACAACACTTGGGCATGCACGACACGGTTCGAAAACGTCGACACGCCACTCAACGTCAGGCTGGACGATGCAAACGTGGCTTCGATCAGCCCTTGGGCTTCGAGCAACAAGCGATGGGCGATCGCCATCTCTTGGACATTTTTCAGTCGAAGCATGACGAGTGTGCAATGGAGCTTTGTGACAGGAATGAAGGCGGACGGGTGGAGGCGAAGACGGGGGTCGATGGTCATTAGTTCGTGTTGACTGGCAGCGCACGCGTCAACGACGGCAGGATTGGTGATGCGAATGCAAAAAAACGCGTTGGGGCGGTCCGAGTTGGGGTAAAACGGGGAAAAGTAGGGGGCGAGTTCCGGGGGACGATATACCCCCCCGGAGGTACTCGTGGATCCGGACAGGGGGGAGGCTGAATCAAACGACACCGGTGGGGCGCCCCCACTCGACCCAAACACCCGATCCAACCGACAGCGCTTGTCCCACACAATGTTCCCTTTCCACTTAAAGTACTGGATGCGATGTTTCGGTATGGCCGTTTCCGTGTGCGATAGCGTTGACAGGTCCCCCCAATTGAATGACGTGATCGGGCGCTCCATGATGCCGAGGAATCGATCCAAGTACCCCACGACCACCTCGTGCTGGTTGATCTGGTCGTCCCACATGATCCGATGGATCACATCCGTGGCCGTGCGCATGCTGTTCCCCTTGTGTGCCGTTTCTGTCGGAGATAGTGGGGCCTCTGTGGACTTTATCTGTTTCTTGGGGACTAACGGGTGCCTTGGCCGTTGTTTCAGGGGGTGCGGGGGTTTGGGTTTCTGTGGGGAGGTGCCAGCGTTTTCGTCGTTTGACAGGGCCACTTCCTTGTGGTCTTGCAAATGTTCGGTGGCGGCTTCGATCATGCTAAATAGACACACTTGGCCGTACGCCAACGAACCAGAGGCGGCAGTGCACATGATGTCCCGAAGGACGGCTTCGCTCCCTGTGAATTTGCTCGAGATGTACGGGAATGACACGGTGGGACATTGCTGGTCCTCCGGATACATTATACTGAGGGTAAACTCGAAGGTAATCGAGTCTTTCAACGTGACCAGGACCTGGAGTTGCTGCAATTGCTTGAGGATCGTGTAGTGGACCGCGTCTGAGCCGTAGATAGCTTGGAGGGCTTCGAGTTCATCGTTTTGAGCTGGAGCTGACATGGTGGTTTGTTGCGCGTTGGATGTTAAAGCAAGCACGGAAGTTGGGGAATGAGCTTTAGGTTCACGAAGAGGTGTACTCATGGCTGGCTGCACCTTCATCAAAGTGGCAGCAAATTGCTCATATATTCCATTCACCCAAGCAATCGTTGTGAATGAAGGTTGAAGAGCCACGAGTGAAGTTGGATAGCATTGAAATAGTGTCATATCATTACACTATTTCAAATGGTTACCATTCGATTCATTGTATTAGTGTTACTAGCACAGATTATAAAACCCTTAGTTTTAATGTTTTAATAAAGATATCTTCGTCATTGTATTCATTGTCTCTATTTATTGTCGCTACCACCTATTTAAATATTGGCGCCAAGCGTTTAAATTCAGACATGACGTCAGTGCACCGGCAGTGTCGACTCGCAGACATCGAATGCACCAATGACAATCTTAGAGATGAAGACAACATGAGTGAATCCTTCCTCCGAGTCTGGTACCCTGGTCATGGCCCCGACTCGCTTTCCACGATTCCAGAAACCTCACGGGAGAGCCTTCCGTCACCTATCGTGGCGAAAGAAGGGTCGCCAGTGCCACCAACTGCTGCTCCGCAAGTTTCAGACCAACATGAGACTGAGCGACAGACGTGTCCATCCAAGGACGTGCTTCGAACTCCGACAAAAGGAACGGGAAGGAGCAGTCGGTCCTCGTTCCAACTCGACACCACGCCTGGTCATCGTCGCCGACGCCTTGATCGTGGTAAGGACGTTTCGGTCATCTATGATTCAGCAAAGCGATATTCTAGAGAACCCATCACCATTTCGCCCCCAGGTGTCTCACCCTCGTCGCTCTTCTCGCATCCAAGCGCATTTGGACGAAGCCACCGCGGTGCTGGACTTGATCCAGCGCGAAAAACTGCACATGTCCAACGTTGAGCTTCTCGCTCAATCATTCCGGGGCCAGATGCTGCAAGTGATGTCGAAGCAACGTTTGGAACTGAAGCAGCAGACGGAACTCCTTGACGCTGCGACCACTGCCGAAGCCAAGTACCACGAGTTCGCCAAGAACCAACTGGTCGACTTTGAGCAAGAGTTGGCCGAGCTAGAGGCAGATCACGATACTCAGATCCAGCTCCTTCAAGCGGAAATCCACTTGAAGGACCAGTTGCTTCGAGAGTGGGAAGACGCGCCGGTGGTGGTCGCCCCCAAGTGGCTCGATGCTGCATCTTGGGGGATGCTGGCCCTCACAGGCCTCTTCGCGTTCTCCCAAACGTGGCAATGTCTGTGGACGTCTGTCGTGACACAGGACGACGCCACCATGCAACACCTCGTTGCATCCGCAGTAGCCACCGCCATCGCCAAAGTCCCTGATCAAACATGACAGCCGAATCTGCATAACTTCAATATTAGTATTATTGCATTGAAAGCACACCGCCCCACGCACTTGAATGTAGTGCGGGTGTGTACGAAGCAGCATACCACACAGAATTGCAACCAAGTGCCATGGATGTCATTTGGCAAAATACCCAGGATCCTGATGTAACTAGACTGGGAGACTAGGATCACCAACGTTGCCGCCATACGCAATGGAGAAAGATAATGCGACAGAATATGCTGGCGGCGGTGGAAGGGTAGATCGCTTGATTGCGCTGTACATACCGTAGTTATTAGAAGTACATACGCCAGGAACATCCTTAGAGCATATGCATCCCCACGGGTAGGTACGACTGTACACTGTAAACGCTATTTTACAGTTCTATCCGGATTATTTACAGGGTGCATGTCGTTGCTATTAATACTCCGGAGTACTTACTGTACGGTAGTACACCTAAGAGTATATAGTACGTAATATATCTAGAAGTCATATACTACTGTAGTATTGAAGTCGATACTGCATACATGTATCTCTTCTGCGCTTACATAGAGCCTCCATTCTACGAGGCGTTTCTGTATTTCGTACAAGGTCGCTTGCTTTCACGTAAAAAAGTCGTAATGTTGCTCAAATTCCTACTAGTACCTGTACAGTTTGGTCACACTTGTGGGGGGGGCCATATATCGGTAAATTAACGTTAGCGTGCATTGCGAGCTGCACGGTAAATGTCCTCGAGACTGTTGTCGAACGAGTCTTCAACATCCACTTTTTATGTATGTCGCGAGTGTTGAGAGCATCAGTTGTAGAGTCAGCCTCCAAATCGTGTTATCATCCACGACAACGAACTGAGGAAGGAACGGAGGATAAAGAGCAAGTAGAAATGCAAAGTGTGTCAGAACTGACATATATTGGATGTCTAACCAGTCGTCCTATTGAAGGCTAACGTGATGCGCTTTCCTGTAATACTCAAATGTGATCGCAGTATTGTTGAAAATGAAGTTAACTTATCACAACGCATCGAGCTCACAGTCAATGTAAAACCGCTGCGGCCACGAACACGCCAAAAAGCTTGCGATTTCGCCACAATTAGGGTCTGAGCAGTGCGTCTATCTATATAAATCTCGATTCATATTCAAGCCGAATGTTGTCTGCGCCAGCTTGCACAACCAGCTACCGTACTCACGACGGTAGACTTCGATGACAAATCCAAAAGTGTCTTCATTATGGTGCAAGTTATCTGTAAAGACTACAAAAAAATGCCTTGTCTTTCGACAGCTATTCCAACTTTGTATTGATATTTTTTAGGAAAATAAGTCGTAATAACGATAGAACGGTTCAAAATTTCGATTGGTGAAAAATTGATCGAGTAATACAATTTAAGGGTGTGTTCGGAGCGACTTTTGTGTCAGCGTTTTTGGAAAAGTAGCCAATCAAAATCGTTTCCATCGACTTTTGCAACAACCGCTCTGGACGACCTCCTTGAGGTCGTTTACAGCGACGTTTGGGATTGTGGCTATTTATTGGGCAAAAATATTAGAATAAATTGTTGGTTGCAAACCAAAATTTCGCAGGAGCACGCCCAAAGCACGCCCTTGTCGGATGCCGGTGGTTCGTCACTCCACTCCGGTGTGTACTGGTAGGTCCTCTACAGGAGAACTTTACCCATGTGAAGCACGACTGTGGTAAGTCATTTCCATGTCGAGGGTAGCTGCACACACAACACATCGAACGCTGCACACATGCCCCTCCCGCGCGACCTCCTAGTTGTACTGAACCCTAGGCTCTGTGTATTGTAAACTGATTTCAGGTTAGCTAGGCGTTGATCTTATGGGTTGCGCATGCCTAGAGTTAGTAGTGATAACTGCACGACTCCTTCGGGAAGGAGAAGGTCACACCGACGCACAAGGTTGAAACACATAGCATTGTCGGTCGGTTTGACCTTTACCGGTGCGCCATTAGCGTGGCAGTCTATATTTCCAAGCCGCCGACTTACGACTGACTTGCGTAGAAACATACAGTACAGTAGTTCTCATGCGCTATATCTACTCTACGTCGTTTCGCCACTCGCCGCCTGAACATTTGGCCACCACAGCCACTACGCGACAACAATTTTCTGCGCTCCGCTGTCAAAGAGCTGAAAATGGACAATGAAGTTTAGGACGCATCATTGGTTGATTTTTCTCTGTTATTAACCAATGTTAGTGAAGGCGTTTAAACTAAAACGTCTCCTCCTGAGAATGGCCGATCTGTAGTCTTTAGGGCCTGGTCGCTGAAGATTTTTGTTTATGTCTCTGCCTGAAAAGCATACTACTCTGGCGCATAATAGTTGTCGCCTCCAAACAACTTCATTAAAGTATTGAACTTGTCATTTGCACGTCTTGATTATTGTATTGACAGTCGACGACATCAACAAACAGTCTTTTTTGCATATTTCAGTCAATATAAACTCAATTAGTATGCTGTTTTGTATGTGCTGTCAGAATTCCACATGTGAATCACATTGAAAACCAATACCTTGTGAAAAACTTCGACTGAATTGTCTGAATGCATGTCATTTTTGCCCCACGCAATTCATAACCTATATAATTTTATATGCTAAATTGGTTATTAGATTAGAAAGGTTACTAACCTGTATCATCGGGTACTCTTTCAATTTATACCCTGTTAATGATAAACATAGTTGCCGCCATTACCATTGACGCCATTGCCATTTACGCCATTGCCATTTACGCCATTGCCACTGACGCCATTGCCTTTGACATTAATTGAATCCATAATGCATAGCCATTGTACAACTGCACACGATGGAGTTATCCATCGATGAATGCTTCGCGTTTGTCAAGGATGCCAGATCTCGCCACTTGACCAGAGAAGAGCGTTTGGACATCCTTCGGTTGCATGCCTGGTTTCGCAGCCAGGGCGCCGCTGCAGTCTCGCCTACAGTGGCAGAGGCACTTGGACGTAACCTTGGCGTTGTTAAGGACGTGTGGCGGGAGTACCTCATGAGCCGTACCGTTCGCGACACACAGCCTGCCTCCAACAAAACGACGCACAACACAGTGGTTCCTCGATCAAAACATGTCGTCGGGTTAGTTCAATCGTTTGTTCGGGACAGACGTGCCACTACCACTCTCACTACTGCCGTCGACGTTTTGATGTACCTCAAGGAAATCTTCGTCCTTGAGTTCGACGCTGACAACAAGAAACAGTTCAACGCGTCGCTTCGTGGAGTCCAACGGTTTCTTAAACACCAAGGATATCGATGTGGCAAACGAAAGACGTCGACCTATCACTTGTCAGCAAAGAATGTCCTTGCACGTGACAGTTATGTCCAACTCATGCAGCCACACGTCGCATCACCGACCCGACCCCACGTGGTCTACACTGACGAGTCGTATATCCACCATCACTACAAATGTCGCAACCAAGACCTGTACGACCCCTCTGATACGCTGGATACCCCTGCCAAGGAGAAACACAAAGGTCGTAGATACTGCTTCATTGCTGGGATTCTGGACTCTGCAACGTTGGACAGCAAGGTGCTAGCACTCGATATATTCACGGGTGGTACTACTGCATCAAAGGCACCAAAGGATTATCACGCCATGTTCAACCATACTTACTACGTCGACTGGTTTGCCAAGCTGCTCGACGAACTTAACCGGTGTGGTGCAACCAATACATTGATTATCATGGACAATGCGAAATATCACAAAGGCCGCCCTGCGGATACTCCGTCTGGTGGACAACGAAAAGAGAAGTTGTTAGCAGCATGTGCGACGTACGGGATCGACGCTGATGTGTCAGAATTGAAGTCTGTCATATGGGGCAAGTTGGCTACCCACGTCGCATTGCACGTGCAGCCAGTTGTGGTCAAAATGGCGAAGTCGCGTGGGCACACTGTTGTGTACACCCCTCCACATCATTCCAACTTGCAGCCAATTGAGACAGTGTGGGCGATCGTGAAAGGTGCTGTTGGACGTCAGTACACGGACATGACCAAGTTTCCAGAAGTTAAAACTCGCCTGGTTCACGCATTTGATTCCTTGACATCACATGCAATCAAGGGCTGCGTAAGGAAGGCAGAGGGATGTCTACAGAAGCTGTACGAACACATTGTGCAAGTTGATAACCTTGGGTCTGATGAGGAGGCATCTGAAGATAGTGAAAGTAGTGCCGGGGACAGTGACAATGAGTAGATTGTTCGCTCTACCTTGACCTTGCGTATAATCATGAAAATACATATATTCGTTTTCCCCGTGACAATGTTGAATATCGAACTCTTTAAATGCATACCTGCCCAAGTCGATACAAATTTCTTTGGGTCATTTGTTGGTGTCTCCAAATTTAAATATCGAAGGCGAAAATTATAATGCAATCAGGAGTATTTTATTAAATTACTTGTTCCTGGGAATTCACCATCGCTTCAAAGTTCACTTCTTCAGCCAGGCGATTGTTCAAGTGCATCAGCGCGCTCTCGTAGCTTGTTGCATCACACTCGACATGGAAGGACGAGTGATTTGCAATCGAGGCATCCTTCTTCATGTGGGGCAGTTTGTATTCATTGCTACCATTGATCTCAATGGACTTCTCCATCACCTTTTGAAGGGTGACGAAGGTCTTTGCCAGTGTTTCAGTGGGCAACTCAACAAACGATGTTTTTACAGCATCAATAAGCTCCTCGATTGAACGAGTACACTTTTGATACTGCAGGCTTTGAATAGAGTTAAAGAATCCTAAGTTGAGCACATTGAAGTCGGGGCTGTTCGGGGGCTGGTTCACGATTCCAATTCCACCAATTCCGGATGCAATTAACCGGTCCGTCGTTAAAGATTTGTGTGGACTGGCATTGTCTTGTTGAATCAACACGGCAGACTTGAGAGCTGCAGACGGAAACTTTGACTTTATAGCAGGAATTACTTGCTACCATCGTCGAATATACTTTTGCGTCGACGGATTGTGGGGAAACAACAATCGTTCCTTTCGGACGGTTTTTGCTGTTCCGTTTGGCTGGAACAGATTCCACAAAAGGCCAAAAGGCCAAACTCCAATTTTCCCGTCGAACATTTGCTTCCGGTGAAAGTCATAACGCGGGCGGACCACGGCCGCCAAAAACATCACTTTAGTAATGAAGTGTTTAGATTTGCAGAACCGGGCTGCCAGTTCCTCGTCCTCGTACACAAAGTATTTTCGTTTTACCTTCGTCAAATAGAACCATTTTTCGTCGATATGAACATAATCGTACATATTTTCAAAAA